CATAGTTAGGTGACATTTAAAGCAGAGTTTATATATTTTGACAAGTGAACACATAGGAAGAAAATAATTCTAATGGAGGAATATCTTTCCAGAAATGATTATGGATGTACACAATCATGTGTGAAAAGAAGACCAAGAAAGTGATGTTGAAAACTGGTTGATTTTAATATGTTGTTTAAAAGCTTGCTTGTATTTCAAGGATGCCTACTCTTGTTACCTCTATTGAACATAACATTAGAAGTCCTAGTGAGGACAATAAGATTGGGGAAAAAAACCCATCCAAATTTAGACAAAGTCAAATCATCACTGTTGACATGCTACATGATCCTATATATATAGATAACTCTAAAGGCTTCACCAGAAATATTGTCAGAGCTAATAAACAAATTCAATAACGTTACATGGTACAAAATTAACACAAAAACCCATTTGTTCTTTTATTCACTAACAATGAACTCTTCAAAAAGGATCACAGAAAACCATCCTATTTATAATAAACTTAAAACGAATAAAATACTTAGGAATAAGTTTAACCAATGAAGTGAAAGATCTGTATGCTGAAAACTACAAACAGATTAAAGAAACTGAGAAAGACACAAATAAATGGAGAGATATCCAATGTCCATGGATTGGAAGAATAAATATTGCTTAAATACCCATATTGTAAGGAAATTGAACACAGAAATAGAAAAAACAATCCTAGAATTCATATGGAACTACAAAAGACCCTGCAGAGCTAAAGCAATCTTGAGGAAAAACAAAACCAGAGGAGTCACACTACCTGGTTGCAAAATAAAAATGTTAAACAATTAAAAGCATGGAACTAGCAGGAAAGAAAACACATGGACAAATGGAACAGAATGGAGAACACAGAAATTAATCCACACACTTATAATCAACTGATCTTCAACAAAGGTGCTGAGAACATACAAGAGGGAAAAGATAGTCTCATACAAATGAAACTAAAATGAATATCTATATGCAGAAGAATGAGATTCTTATCTAATACCACATACAAGATCAATGCAAAATGCATTGAATACTTAAATGTAATATGTAAAACTTGAAATTTCCAGAAGAAAATTTCCAGAGCATTAATCTAGGTAATGATTTTTTAATACACTTCCTAATTATGTATGGCAAAAGCAAAAGTAGAAAAATGAGATTGTATCAAACAAAAAGCTCATGCACCATAAAGGAAACAATCAAGAGAAAAAGGAGACAGCCTATGCAATGTTAGAAAATAGTTACATACCATAAAACTGTGAAGGGTTTACTCTCCAAGATATACAAGGAACAAGAACAACTCAATAGTAAAAAAAATTAAGATTAAAAATGAGATAAGGACATGAATAGACATTTCTCATAGAAGACATTCAAATAGCCAACAAATATATGAGAAAATGATCAGCATCACTATAACCAGGGAACTGCAAGTCAAAACTATTATGAAATACAACTCCATACTTGCTAGAAGGCTATTGTCTAAAAGGCAGAAGATATCAAGCATTGGCTTGTGTGTGGAGAAAAAGAAACCCTTGTACGTGGTTAGTGGTAATTCAAATTAGTGCAACCACTATAAGAAAACAATTAGAGGTTCCTCATTAAAATAAAAATAAAACTTCCATAAAATCCAGAAATTCCACTTCTGATTTGTCCAAAGAAAATAGAATCCATATGCTGAAATGGCATTTGCACTATGCCCATGAAGGCGTTATCACAATAGCCAAGATGTGCAATCAACCTGTGTCCATCAACAGATGAATGGATATAGACAATGTGATATTGGTGTCACACACGCACACACATGCACACACACATGCACATTCACACGCAAGTCACAAACATGCACACTCACACACAAATGCACACACACTCTCGCACACAAACACACACTCACACACATGCACACTCACACACGCATACACACACTGAAACACTATTTAACTTTAAAAAAGAGAACACTGCTATTTGCGTCAATGTGGTTAAACCCACACTGGGGACATTACGACTGTGACTTGATGTATCATATGAAATGTTGAGAAAGAGTTTTTGATGCTCTTCCCAAAGTTTAGAGATAGCAAAACAGTTTATCTTATTTTGATAATTGTTTGGCCAAAAGTTTTTTTTTTCAAAATAATGAAAATAGCAATTGCAATATCTCTAAGTTATTTAACAATTACATATGAGTGTTGGGATTTAAAATCTTTATTTCTTTATAATTTGTTTAGAAAGGAATGATGTAGTAAAATTTCAATCTTCTATTAATAAGTTAAACCAAACAGCTACAGTTAAGAAGTGAGATTTAAGCTGGGTGGGTGATGCATGCTCATAAACCCAGATGTCAGGAAGCTAAGGTTGGAAGATGGAGTTTGGGGCCAGCCTGAGCTGGACTCAAAAAGAAGAAAAAAAGTGAACGTTAGTTCTTCAACCCCTTTCAGACCCAAGTTTCTGTGATAGACTGCTTTGTACATTTCTCTATCTTTCTCATACAAACCTAAAGTCATAATGGGTATTTTTGTTTTGTTTTGTCTTTTATAAAAATTGGATCATAGTATACATTATTGTGCACCTTGCCTTTTATACTTAAGGATGAATCATATTCTCACCTCCAGATCATAAGGTATAATTTGTTCTTTGTAAAGATTTACTTAATATTTGAAATAGGAAGTTATTATTCCTTATTCTACCAATCAAACCATTCAAAGATTATTTTTCTTCTACAAATAAGGCTCTGCTAAATAACCTTGTCTAGATCTTCACACCCAGATTCATTTAGGATTCTCAAGTATTACATTGCTGGGGAAAAGAATGTATGTTTTTAAATTTTAATAAAAAGTGCTAAGTACATGTCAGAAACCTGTAACAATTCACACTTCTGTTAGCAGTGTAAACTAGTAGGTGAGTAGAGATATCGCTTTTGTTGCATGTTGAACTTTCCTGACCACCACAAAGGTTCAGGATCCAGTTCCTTTTTGAATGCTCCTTGGCCTTTTTAATTTCCTCTTCTATGAAATTCTGTTGTTGCCCAATTTCCTATTGAATCTTACTAAATAACAAAGAACCTGGATTTAGAGATATTCATTCTGTTCCAATCATAGGTGGTGCAAATGTTTTTCTTTATATGTTATGTAATTTTCCATTTTATTTCTTTATACCAAAATTTAACATTTTTCCATGCTCAGAGTGTGATTAATGAAATTACAAATGGATGAGTTTGTGAAATTATTCAAGAGAAGGCAGCAAACATGAAATAATGACCACCAGACCCTCCAAACGCTTCCTGCTATTCATTGTAATTTTACATTTTGAAAAGAAAAAAACCAAAATGAGAAGTCTTAGAATTCCCTTGTGTTGATGAAGGGATTCCCTCCAGGTTTTGTTTCCTTCTAATTTCTTGAGGCTTGAATTCATATTCAGAATGAATCCTATTCCTTAAGTTATTCCCCACCATTTTCCTCCCACCCACTCTGCAACATGGTATTACCTAGGTGGTAGTCCTTAATTACATTTAAAAATATCTTTGTTTCAAAACTATAGCTATATTTCACTGAGACAACTAGATATCTATAAATTACTAGATTCTGTGTGAAAAGAATCTTTAAATATCAGATTTAGGTAAGAATTATCTGGTGATCTTTCTCATCTGCTTTCACTGGTAATGAAACTACTGTTTTATTCATTGGCAATGTCAGATTTTTCAAGGAACAAGCAAGGATTCAGAGACTAGTTCTTCCTTACTCTCTAATTAACTCTGTTCTGAGTTAACTTTGTGAATTATTGAACAACCTCTGAGTTGCTCAATAATTTTGACAAGGCTGTGAACTGGACTCTTAGTCCCAGGTGAATAAACAGAGAAAATCAAGATCTGACCGTTCCTCTAGTCAGAATACTGTATGGTCCCAGGTATACTGCTACAATTCTAATATTATTCCTGCCTCACCAATGTTGGCTTTTCCTCTTATGCAGTGTCTAGTACCTGAATATTACTAGGTATTTGATAGACAAGTAGAATTTAATGTAACTTGATGAAATTGTTCACTTAATATTTTCAGAGAATGCCTAATAGAGGTTATAATAGAGTGTTAGAGGTATGACAATCATTTCCTAACAAAACTGAATAATCTGGTGTGGAAGTATGTAATTATCAAATATAGACTTTCTCTTGCTTTAACTTGCAAGTAATGTTCTAATAATTCTGTCAAGACAACTTTCCAGTCCTAGAGAAACTTATGGTTCTTGTAAAGTAGCACATGGTTAATTCAGAGTTCATCTGTGTTACTCTGGTTTGTCTGTGAATGATTTCTGGAGGTGTTAAGGATTTCAGAGTTATTATCCCATAACGAACGGCACTTGTTTTTATTTAAGAGAAAAATTTATAATTATTGCCAAAAATGTGGCATAAAACACATCACCATATGAAAATGCATAAGATTCCCTTTGCATTACTAAGAAATTCCCTAGATTTAGGAGTTTCGTATTGTCTTTTTTTATGCTGGGATTGAATGCAGGGCTTTGAGGATGCTAGACAACCACTCTACCATTGAGCTAAATCCCCAACCTAATCCTCTCTGCTTTTAAATTTGAGTCTATCTTTTACTATAGCACTTTGTCTTTAACCCTAGGGCTTACCTACTTTTTGTAGAGATGAAAACAGAGACAGTGGAAACAGAAGTAGAGGTAGAAAATTTTAAGCAAAATAGCCTGTAAAGTGTAGATGGGAGGAGGATGATTCTCTCCATGAGTATGAATGACTGTTGGTTAAAAAGATACAAAAAATGCAGGAAGTTACAAGACATCTTTCCTCAATAGGAAAGGTGACACAGTAGAATTATTAAGAAGGAAAGTTTAGTAGCCTCATTTTCCCAGCTCCTGTTCAACAGCTGTCACTTGGATTTTAAACGTTAGATTGGAAAATGATTCATGGGCATTTCCATTTCTTCTGGAAAGCTTTCACCAGTTATTTACAGATCACATCTCTAAAGAACAGAATTCATGATGGCAGGTCTCTAGATGCTGTGGTATGGAGGAATCAGAAGACTGTTGCAAGGGAAGGCATTGGTACGGTCTCAAAATGTCAGAATGGTACGTATACTGAAAAAGGACAGAAAAGATGTTGTTTTAGCACTTACACAATTCACTCTCTCCATGTAAGTGAATGAAACATTTGATGATTCTTACTGAAAGTCTACCCATATTCCCACTCAGTGCCCATCCTTATGCACAAAGGCCATGTCAGTGTAAGAGCAATCCATCCTTCTCTGGTTATCTCTTGTGTTTTCTCCAACCTTAAACTCATTTTTAGAAATAAAATTACTACCACAAAGGATCTATTTTTAAAGGTTTCTGATAGAAATTGTCAAATTATTCTTTCCCAAAAGGCATAAAAATTAAGTAGTATATGAAAGTGCCCATCTAATTTTGGCCAACTCACTTTCTCTCAGAGACTCAGTTTTTCTACTAAGGTAGTGAAATCGAGACCAGCATTCAGCTCTGTTTGAGAATCACATGAGGTAACACATGAAAGTCCATTAACGGAGCAGCTGGTGGATACTATTTTCTTTCCTTCCTCAAGAATATTTGTCAATGAAGTGTCTAACATAATACATTACATGTGTGCATAAGAAATTTAATTTAAAGTTTAAACCTCATGAGAAGAAGTGTGGGGATAGCAGAAAATGCACGGACAATGGAGCTAAAACATGGGGTTTAGTTGTATCTAGTAACCAGTAATATTAAATGTAGGTGGAAATATTCATCCAATTAAGTACTTGTAAGTGCTACCTATTAGAGATAGATTCTTCCCTCCTAATATTTGAGATACTAAATATTCAAAATAGCATCTTGTACTCTTCCTCTTTACTATAATTTTTGTTGGTGAAAAATTCTTTGTAAACTGGGAAAAGAAAAAAAAGGTATGTTTCATTAAAAACTAATAGTGTAGAAAATAATCACAATAATTGCAGTTCTTACCTACTTCTATATTAAAAGTTTTGGTGATGTCTAGAGTATAGATTTATTTTATAGGCATTAATGGTAAGTCTTAAATGACTAGTCAGAGGCTTCTTTAACTCCATGTTATAATTATGACTGTATGACTCTGACACTGTCTTTGGCAAAGGCGAATGTTCCCTTAGAAAAAAGACTGAGTGTCCTGATCACTCAGATTTGAGGTAAGCAACAATGTCTAGGAGGATGGGAACCATAAATCAACTATCCTTAGTGTCTCAGAATGTGATCATAAGTCTTCTACATGTGAAGACTGAACTGTTAGTGGGAAACTAAGGTACTCCAATTTTTCTTATTCTCCCCATCTTGTTCAATTTCTGGTAGCCAATCCCCTAGTATAAAAAGAAACTTAAAATTTACCTCTTTCCAGAGCGAAGCAAGTCAAATCCTTCATTAATTTTTTCAAAAGATAAAACATTGGTTATTAATGAATCCAATGGAAACTTTTTAGCCATAAAATCATCCACAAGTTTGGGGACAGAATCTTTACTCTTAAAACCTGAAAAGAAGATAATGTAATTATCAGCTTTTTGTCATTGGAAAGTAGAAGAATTGAATAGGAGCCTCTCCAATAAAATTAAAAATTATAAAAAGATGACATTCCACAAACTGCTATTGTTGAGGTCAATAAGTGACAGAGTGCTTTAAAACCCTTTTGCAATGCTTTCACCTTTTAATTCTCCCACATAAACTAGTGTCCTTAGCTAGCCTCTGAATTCTTATTCTTTCATAGAAGAATTATAGCACCGCAAATCAAGGACCAAATTTAGCACTTGTATAAATTGGGTAAATGAGTATAGACATGAATTATTGCTATAGATTTCCTGAATTTTACTGGGAATTTTGTCACCTTATAATTTTGTCACAATCATAAAAAGAGCTGGTGCTGAAAGGTCCTAGTTAGCTTATGGGAACCCCAGAAACATTTGTCTTGGGAGTTTTCTCTGCATTAGTTCTACATCTAGCAGATATAGAGCCTAAGTATAAAGGAAAAATTTTAATTTGTCTTTGACAACATTGCATTTCTATCTCTTATACAAGGGAATAAATTTTGAAGCTGATAATAATTTGGTGCTTAAGCCTAACTACATACCACCAAATATTGCTCCTTTCCAGGTGCGTCCAGTCAATAGCATCATAGGGTTCATTGAGAGGCTTTGGGAATCAGGAGGCACTCCCACAATGACGCTCACACCATAGGCCTTTTGACAGCATAAGAGGGAAGAAACCTGGAATAAAAATCAATTTTTACATTCTTAAAGTAGATTCTCTTTTAGCCCCAACTCACAATCTGCAATATCAAGTAATGTTGATTTAGGTAGATTGTAAGTGTGCAGAGGGAAGAAAGTATGTCTTTTCCTTCTTCTTACCCCAGTGTGCTTAGGATACTTCTGTGGCTTTCAGAAATGCCCAGAAAGTAGTTTTTGAGCAAAAGAAATAAATTTATGCCTACTTAAGTCTTCCTTATTAACTAATAAAGAGGTGAATATCATTACACACATATGTAAAGCCTGGATCTTCAAAAACAATACTGTTTTGTCACCACATGATTATCAAGCAATGTATGGGTTGGTTAACTCATTTTATATTTATCTATTGAGTAAGTATTCTGGACCTAGTGCTTTGAACCAGGGGAATAAGATAGGATGATTACATTATAAAAATGTGTCTCTTGTGCCCTGAGTAATCTCTCTTTAGTAGAATCCTATTTCCCTGACCATTTCAAGATGCATATGTTTTCAATGATGTTTTTACCTTCAAAAATGTATATTGGTTTTGTAAACTATACTTATTATTTAGTAACCCCAAGATATAAAATGTTTATTCATTTGATTTTGAAGGATGGCATTTAGAAGATCAGATATCCTCAGAACATGTGGTCATCAGACATTTGGTGCCTTCAGATAAAGTAACAATCCAATTCTACATGAGAATACAGGGAAAATATTAAAATAGCACAATGAGAAAAGTGCAGCCTTTCAAGAAGTTGGATTCTTTTGGAACGCCAATGACCTGTGGCATATTGTCCCAGGTCAAGGCTACAAAGTAATTTGCTCTCAGGATACTATTCCTTGCTACCAACATTGCTGTCTTACTGGATAACCTTAAGGATGAGGATTGTTGGTTTCTGGGACATTTTTCATCCAATCCTAAAGAAGTCAAATTGGTTAAAGATAGATAAAGAGGGATTCCTATGGCAATTTATGACAATTGTACTTATTTGAAAGGAGTATCATGTCTATGTCAAAAATGGCAAGGACTGCAAGCTTGGAAATTGTAGTTCGTATCATTAACACCAGTTTACATTTAAGAGAGATTACCACATGACAAGTGGCACAGTGATGAGTATCTTACATGTATTATCTCATGTAATTCCTTAGCAATGGTAAGAGTTATATATCTCTTAAGTTTTGAGGGTGGAAAAATCTGTTGATTTTTTGAAATATTGACTCCGACGCATAGATATTGAGCATTCCTATGTGCCAGTACTCTGCTATCTCTGTGGTAAAATACAGTGTTACATTAAAGCAGCCACTTATTCTAGGGCATATTTTCTTTTAAGAAAATAGTATTTAGCCCCAAATTGTTCATTGCTCTGTTTGGCCAGATGATAAATTATGTGAAAAAATCTTTATAATCCATTAAGATGTAAAAAGCTGTTATACCATATTTGTCAAAAATGTGGGAGGAAATCAAATTTTCCAATCTAAAAACAAAATTTGTGTTACTACTTATTGAATTGTTTTTACCAAAAAACTAAAGCTAACTTGCAATGGCTTAATTAAAAATCAAACTTTCCCTTGTTAAAAGAGAAATTTTACTTGAGAAAGATTTTTTATTAAATGGTAACGTGAAGGAGTTCTCATGGCAATGAATTAAAAAACCCAAGTAACAATCAGGAGATGTTGCCATTCTAGAATACCTTTATACAAAACATTCTGCAATCCAAAGCACAGAAATAGAACTCTTAAGGAATATCATGTTACCAACCATGGTGTCCAGGCGACCAATGACTTCAAATGAAAAATCCACTCCCCCGTCGGTCATATCCTGTAGCACCTCATGGATGGGTTTGTCATAGTCTTGAGGACTGATGCACTCAGTGGCACCCAATTCTTTGGCCTTTGCAAATTTGTCTTTGTTGATGTCCACTCCAATGATCCTGGCTGCTCCTGCTGCTTTACAGCCAATGACAGCAGACAGACCAACGCCTCCAAGGCCAAACACAGCACAGGTGGAGCCCTTAGTGACCTGTGTTTTCAGAAAATGAAAAGATGATTGTTAGAAAGTACCCAGGAGGTATAAAGTGCCAAACCTTGTCTGCTATCAGCAGCTACTTAGACTTATGTTCCACCTTCTGTCAAAGCCTCTTTTGTCTACAATTGCTTCATGTTTAAACAGAAGAGGTTAAGCTACATCAGTGGTCCTCAAACATTGCTACACATTAATCTCATCTGGAGAGTTTTACAAAGCAGTAAGGTCCAGGGCACAGCTCATGACAACTGAATCAGAATCTCAGCAGGTAGAGTTCCATCCTTAGGTCACTCTAAAGGGAAACCCAGGCTGAGAATGAGTGGACTGGGTGATTTTTGAGCACTAAATGTCAGTACTCGAACTTTTTTAAAAATGTTTTTGCTTAGAAGTTAAAAGTCCCAGTTAAATGATTTTTTTTTGACAGCACTGGGGTTTGAACTCATGGCCTCATGCTTGCTAGGTAAGTGCTCTTCCTGCTTGAGTCATTCTGATAGCTCAGTAACTCTAATCTTAAAGAAACTTGCAATAGCTTAAATTCATTGAATTAAGTGTCAGTATCTTACACATGTACAATGTGTGCATATATGAAAGTGGCACAGAGCGATTCACTGAAAGCTGTTGAAAAATAGGTTGGAGGTGTGTTGGTGAAAAGGCAGAGCAAAAGAGGGGGTCAGTCCGGTCAATGTATAATATATGTGTGGGTGAAACACTATGGTGTAAACCCTTTCTACATTAATATACATTAATAAAACATTTTCTTTAAAAGTAATTTTGGGCAATGACATAAATGGACAATGTTACTCCAGGAGACTGAAAATTAACCAAATCAATTTATGAATGATTAACTCTTCTTGGTTCGTGAACTTTCGTTAATCACAACTCGTGTAGTGAGTGCAGCAATTAGCTGTGATTTATGCAAAAGTTATTCTTGGCTTAAAGCAAATTCTAAACAGTAAGTAAAATTCAACTTGTCACTTTAAGATACTGTAGCTTCAGATGAAAGTTGTCTTTGAGGGTCTTTATCCCTGATTCCCTGATTTTTATTTTTGGTAGCAGGGGCTGGCCTGGAACTTGTGATCCTGCTACCTCCATTCCCCAATGTTGGAATTACAGGCATGTACTACCACATCAAGTCTTCCCTGATTTTAAATAAACAAGTGGATAATGAAATGAAAAGTTGGTCTGTATTTAACAATGAATGAACTCCATTATCATGATTCTCCTTGGCTTACTGAGACCACCTGCTACAACAGATGAAATTCTACAAGGACTGGGGTTGATTGCCTTTTGGGCTGATGTCACAGAAATTTGGAAAAGTTGTGCTGTAAATTGGCTACAGGCTATTTAATAAGCCTAACCTTCGATCCCTAGCCTTTAGTGTAGGTAAAATACTGCTGTTCAAGTAACCTCATTGTTACATTCCCGTAAGGATGGAATTCACCACTTTCTGTGTTACTTAGAAAAATATAGGACTTGTGATTTAAAGATGATAGTCATTGTGTAGAATGGTTTCAGCGGGAGTTTTGAGAACAATGTTTTAGTTTCTGTGTGTTTATCAGTTACAAAAATTTGAGCAAATATTTTTCTGTCTCTGGATCATCATTTCATAAAAATGGAAAACACTGCCTTTGGGAAATAGGTGCTTACAGGATTTCAACTAGAAACGTACCTCTTCTGAAGCATATGTGCTGGATGTGCGCATGCACACCATGTGTTCATGACAAGAAGATATACCAATAATGAGTACAGTGAATCCATTGCTGAAGTTTCATTACTTACTGGGATCCACAGAGTGGTGACCCTTGCCTCAATGGTGTCTCACGTAATGCTATAGAATCTCTGTAGATCATAGTGCTGGGAGTGGGGTACCATTCCCCTATACTCCTCAAAGGCAAATCCTTCATTCCATTTACTTTAGCTGCTCAACCTAGCAGAACCTACTGTGCCTGAAGTACACAGGTACTCTCTGACTTCAGAATTAGTGACTAAATGAGTGCCCAGTCCTAAAATTTCACAAGATATAAGAACTTTTGCTTAAAATGAAATCCCAGTGACTTTCATAATAGAGATTGAAAAATCTACCCTAAAGTTTATTTGGAAACACAAGAGACCACAAATAGCTAAGGCAATACTCAACAAAAAGAGCAATGCAGGAGGTATCACAATACCTGACTTCAAACTATATTACAAAGCAGTTGCAATAAAAACAGCATGGTACTGGCACAAAAACAGACATGAAGACTAGTGGAACAGAATAGAGGACCTGGATATGAATCCACACAACTATAACCACCTCATTTTTGACAAAGTTGCCAAGAATATACGATGGAGAAATACAGCCTCTTCAACAAATGTTGCTGGGAAAAGTGGTTACCCGTCTGCAAGAAACTGAAACTAGATCCATGTCTGTCACCCTGTACTAGTAACAACTCAAAATGGATCAAGGACCTAAATATTAGACCCAAAACTCTGAAGTTAGTACAGGAAAGAGCAGGAAACACTCTGGAACTAATAGGTATAGGCAAAGACTTCCTCAATAGAACCCCAGCAGCCCAGCAACTAAGAGAAAGGAGGAATAAATGGGACTTCATAAAAGTAAAAGGCTTCTGCACAATAAAAGAAATGGTCTCTAAACTGAAGAGAACACCCACAGAGTGGGAGAAAATATTTGCCACCTATACATCAGACAAGGGACTGATAACCAGAATATACAGGAACTTAAGAAACTAAACTCTCCTAAAATCAATGAACCAATTAAGAAATGGGCACCTGAAATAAACAGAACTTTTTCAAAAGAAGAAATTCAAATGGCCAAAAAACACATGAAAAAATGCTCACCACCTCTGGCCATAAAGGAAATGTAAATCAAAACCACACTAAGATTCTACCTCACCCCTGTTAGAATAGCTATCATCAAAAACACCACCAACAACAGGTGTTGGTGAGGATGTTGGGAAAAAGGAATCCTCATACACTGCTGGTGGGAATGCAAGCTGGTGCAACCACTCTGGAAAAACATTTGGAGAGACTTCTTAAAAATCTAAACATAGATCTGCCATATGATCCAGCAATCCCTCTCCTGGGGATATACCCAAAGGAATGCAACACAGTTTACTCCAGAGGCACCTGCACACCCATGTTTATTGCAGCACTATTCACAATAGCCAAGTTATGGAAACAGCCAAGATGCCTCACTATCAACTAATGGATCAAGAAAATGTGGTACTTGTACACAATGAAATTTTACTCAGCCATGAAGAATGAAATCTCATTATTTGCAGGTAAATGGATAGAACTGGAAAACATCATTGTGAGCGAGGTCAGCCAGGCTCAGAAGATCAAAAATCGTATGTTCTCCCTCAGATGCAGACTTTAGATCTAGAGCAAATGCAGCAATGTGGTTAGACTTGGATCACATGACAAGGGGAGAGCACATATGGGAGATACAGGAATAGGTAGAAAACCCAAAACATGAAAGCATTTGATGTCCCCACTCCAGAGGAACTAATACAGAAACCTTAAAGAGACAGAGGTTAACATGAGAAAGGGATCAGGAACCAATGTAAAGATCAGTTAGAGTTGAATCAACATGGGTCGTAACACATGGGTACATGAAAGCAATAGTAGGAATCTCTCTGTATAGCTATCCTTCACTCAGCTAGCAAAAACGCTTTGTCATTTCTTCAACAAAATTAGTGATAAGGGCAGAACAGGACCTGCCTGGAACTGAGGGGGGGGGGAAGAGGGGGAGGGGAGCAGGGTGGAGAAATGACCCAAACAATGTATGCACATGTGAATAAGTGAAAAAGACAAAACAAAATAAAATCCTTACTTTTTCTTATGTATCACCAATATTTCTGTATATTTTTAATGGGCTTCATCATGACATTTTCATACACATATATCATGTTCTTTGCTTATACTCACTCATTAATTTCTTGATTTTTTTTTGAGATAGAGTCTCAGTGTAGTCCAAGCTGGCCATAAATTTGCAGCCTTCTTGTCTCAGCTTCACTTGTGCTGCAATTATGGATGTGGTAACCATACTCAGCTGGTTTGACAGCATTTTCATTAAACAGGTGAATTTTCTATAACATGCTCTCAAATAACTTCTGGTGCTATTTTTCTATTAATAATTGGATCAGCACCACAAATGTATGAAAATAATCTCTGATTCTTGAGAGAAATTGCTTCCCTTTGTCTTCCTGACAGATTGAGTGCAGCTGCCTTTATTGGCTATTGTCAGTCCTACCTTGGCTACTTTGACTGCAGAGCCATAACCAGTTGGAAATCCACAGCCCATGAGGCAGACTTTCTCCAGTGGTGCAGAGGGATCAATTTTAGCCACTGAGATCTCATCCACCACTGTGTACTGGGAGAAGGTGCTGGTGCCCAAGAAGTGGTAGATGGTCTTCCCCTTGCAGGTGAACCTGGAGGTGCCATCCAGCAAGGTCCCCTTGTAGCTAATAATGCTGGTCAGTGAAACAGACACAGAAAGAACATGAGACAGGGGCACAACTAATATGGAACATCTTTAGCTGTGTAAGGAGACAATAAGAAACTTACTCGCTTTTCAAACATGAGTTGCTTTTAGGGTGTTTACAAGTTCTGCATTTTCCACACTGGGCCTGAAAGAGTGGAATGACTTTATCACCTGAAGTGGGACAAAAGAAATTTTCCATAAATTTCTATCTAGAAATTAATAAAGCAAAAACTTTAAGCATACATGTAAAGGTGTGTGTCTTTGAGAAGTCTGCAAGAAATAGAATCCAATCACAACAGTGTCATTGGTCCCACCCTGTAAGCCTTGTTACCCACTGGGTTTATATGTGCTGAAGATTTCCAAAGAGGAAATGTGAATGGAGAAAACAACATGGATTTTAAAAGCTACACCCTGGTTTCTCCTGGGGAGTTTGCCCACATCAGCTACCTCATTTAATCCTTAGTTAAACTTTAAATACTCTCACTGCCTTAAGTATAAATATACATTTTAGTTGCAAGCTGGTGGCCATAGTTCCATTAGATAATGGAGAAATCTGATATTTTGTAAAATACTCACAATAAAATTAAAACAAAAAAACCTAAAAATAAAATAGTAAATGTAATAAAATTAATATATTTACAATTAAAAAACAAACTAAACATGGTCATGGTTAAAATGTAAATGATAATTTTGATAATCAATTTTTAGTTTTTCAAAATGACTATGCTTATCATATGAAGTGAATTCATTTGAAAGAAAAGTAATGAAAATGGGGTAAAATTTCAAGAGAACTTACATTGTAATGTTTTGATAATAAATTATGAATTATCTATTTTTCCTGACATAGAGCAGAGTGAAAAATAAGAAAATCTTTTTATTATTAAATTATTTCCAACTAAAGGAAATACCAAGAGCTGAAATTCAAAGTAGCCTACTTCATTTTTCTGTTCACAGTTCAAATCTAGTAGTTAAAGTGATCATTTTAGAATTAAATGTTCTTTTTTTGGTGGTACTAAGGTTTGAACTCAGGGCCTCACACATGCTAGGCAGGTATTCTACTACTTGAGCTACTTCCCCTGTCCCATAATTTGTCTTTTTAAATGTTTATACTACCTATCCAGAAGACCTCAAAAATGGTTGGCTCCTTACATTTTATAAAGTTTATCTGGAAATGATGGCATGGAAATTCTCTGTTTATTCACTTTTTACATATGAAAGCATATTAATAAACAATGAATTAAAGATAAAGTATGAATTAAAACGGAGATAATTTGTAACCTGTCCTCTTGAGCATAACTAAAGTCAACATAAATGGCATTATTTATAGCTGGATGACTCTTGCTCTTTCTTTGCATTTTCTTCCATATACTCTGTTTTACTTTTACTAGGTTCAAGAAGGAAGGCCATGTTGGAAGAGGAAATTGGTGAATGGGCTCCATTTTTTTTCAGCCACAGCCTCACAGGCCCCATTACATGCACTCGACTCAGAACAGTTTCCAGTCACTGATCTGGAGACTGGTGACCTACACACTCGCCCTTTGACCCATCTGTAGCTCTGTTTGGACCCTGACAGAAGACAGTGCTGAGCAACACTAACAGGGAAGTTATTTGATTCTGAATTTCACCTGGAAGGCACCATGTCTCTCTCTTTTCACTCTTATGTTCCCCATGCCCTCACCTGGTGCCTGACATCTACTAGAGAAAAAAATAGTTTTGAAGGAGAAAATATATGGCTGTCTTGATACAACATGCCAGAGTCAGGCAGGGAGAAAGGAAAGGAGGAAGCCCTTTAGTCCTCTAAAGGGCTTCTCCTCTGAGATTCTGTGCAAAGTTCCGCATCTCTCATTGCCTCAATTTCCTTATCTGGGCTGGATAGTCTTGGGATGTTGAACCTAACTGCAAAACCTGAGCATGAATTCTGTACCTGGTTTTACTGTAGTCACTCCTTCTCCAATGCTCTCCACGATGCCGGCTGCCTCATGGCCTAGAATCAATGGGAAAGGCATGGTAATAGTTCCAGCAATCACATGGTCATCTGAGCGACAGATTCCTGTGGCCACCATCTAGAGAATAAAGAGAAGATGTTTAGATCCTAGAAAGAGTTTGACTCTAGAAGATTTAACTTACTTGATTTCATAAAATTTGTGCTTTGAAGAATTCTCAAGAGTCTTGCTAATAATTTCTACACTTTGAAAGCACAAAAGACTTAGTTTATTCTCAAGATTGTCCAAACTTTTCTTTCCCAAATAATGGCTCCTGTGAAGTAATTCATCCTGAAATGTTTATTTTATATGATATACAAGAAGACATGCTTTTGGTGGAAGTAAAAATTACAAATTAACATCAAGAAAATATATATCCCTTTGCACTTTTCTATAAAACATAAATATTCTTCAAAATTTGGGGGGAATTATGCAATATGTATTCTTTGGTCATGTTAAATTTTTTCTTCTTTCTTTTATTTTGTCATTTTTACATTTACTTACATGTGTATACATTGTTTGGGCCACCTCCCCATTCCTCCAGCCTTCCCCCTTTCTGGGCAGAACTTGTTCCACCCTCTTGTTCTCTCATTTTATTGAAGAGAAAACATAGGAGATAATAAGAAAGACAGCATTTTTGCTAGTTTGAGATAAAGATAGCTATACAGAGAGATTGCTAGCATTGCTCCCATGTACTTGTGTATTGCAATTCACACTGGTTTATCTCTGCCAGACCTCTTCACTACTTCCTGATCCCCTTCTCACAGTGGCTTCTGCCAGTTTAACGTTACTTTATGCACACCTCTACAGTGGGCACATCAACCACATTTAAGTTTTTAGTTTCCTTCCCTTTCCCTTTTCCTCCTGTGTGCATTCTCCCTTTAGTGTGTGACCCATGTCCAATAACATTACTGCATTTGTTTTAGGTCTATAATCAACAAATGAGGAAAAACATGGGATTTTTGGCTTTCTGAGCCTAACTTCGCTTAAGATGATGTCCTCTAGTTCCATCCATTTTCTTGTAAATGATAAAATTTCATTCTTCTTTATGGCTGCGTAAAATTCCATTAGTTATAAATACCACATTTTCTTAATCCATTCATTGGTAGTGGGACATCTTGGCTGTTTCCATAGCTTGGCTATTGTGAATAGTGCTGCAATGAAAATGAGTGTCAGGTGCCTTTGAAATTACCTGAATCACATTCCTTTGGGTATATCACTAGGAGTGGCCTTTCTGGGTCATATGGCAGATCTATGTTTAGTTTTTTAAGAAGCCTCTATATTGTTTTCCAGAGTGGCTGTAGTAGCTTACATTCCCACCAGGAGTGTATGAGGGTTCCTTTCTCCCTATATCCTCACCAACATTTGTTGTTGTTTTTTGTTGGTTCTTGAAGCTAGCTATTCTCACAGTAGTGAGGTGGAATCTTAGTGTGGTTTTAATTTGCATTTCTTTTATGGCCAGGGATAGTGAGCATTTTTTTCATGTGTTTTTTTTGCCATTTGGACTTTTTCCTTTGAAAAAATTCTGTTTAGTTCAGTTGCCTACTTCTTTATTGGTTCTTTTTTTCGGAGATTTAGTTTATTGAGCTCCCTGTATATTCTGGTTATCAGTCCTTTGATGTATAGCTAGCCAATATTTTCTCCCACTCTGCATGGGCTCTTCAGTTTAGAGATCATTTCTTTTGTTGTGCAGTAGTTTTTTAATTTCATGTAGTTCCATTTGTCCATCCTTTCTCTTAGTTGCTGGGCTGCTGGAGTTCTACTGAGGAAGTTCTTGCCTGTACCTATTGCTTCCAGTGTATTGCCTGCTCATTCCTGACTAACCTCAAGGTTTCTGGTCTGATATTAAAGTCCTTTATCCACTATGAATTGATACTAGTATAGGGTGACAGACATGGATCTAGTTTCAGTTTTCTGCATGTAGATAACCATTTTACCCAGCAACATTTGTTGAAGAGGCTGTCCTTTGTCAAAAATTAGGTAGGCATAGTTGTATGCATTCATATCTGGGTCCTCTATTCTGTTCTACTGGTCATCATATCTGTTTTTGTGTCAATACCATGCTGTTTTTATTGCTACGGCTACTGTAGTATAGTTTGAAGTCAGGTATTGTGATTACCTCCAGCATTGCTGTATTTGCCTTGGCTATTCGTGGTCTTTGTGTTTCCAGATGAACTTCAGGGTAGATTTTTCAATCTCTGTGATGAATGTTATTGTGATATTTATGGGAATTGTGTTGAACTTGTAGATTGCTTTTGGTAGTATTGTCATTTTTACTATGTCAACTCTACCAATCCTGGGCATGCTCCCATGTTTCCACTTTTGGTAGTCTTCCTTGATCTCTTTCTTCAGTGGTTTGTAGTTCTCATTGTAGAGGTCATTTACTTCCTTTGTTAAGTTTATTCCTAGGTATTTGATTTTTTTTTTTTGAGGCTATTGTAAATGGCATTGTTTTCCTATATTCTTTCTCAATTTGTTCATTCTTGATGTATAGAAAGGCTACTGATCTTTGTAAGCTGATTCTGTATCCTGATACATTGCTGAAGCAGTTTGTGGTGTTTAGGAGTTTTTGGGTAGAGTTTTTCTGCTTTTTTTTTTTTGGTGGAAGTAAAAATTACAGATTAACACCAAGAAAATATATATCCCTTTACACACACACACACATTCACACACACACACACATATATTCTTCAGATTTTTTTTCAGGGATTATACAATACATAGTCATGTTAAATTTAACAATTTTAGCTATCCCAAATGTAATTTATTGTTTAAATAAGTGCATCTTAATAGAATATTGCTTTTCCTATTTTGAATATTCTCTCTTTCTTTTTGTCAGGACTGGGCTTTCAATGCAGGGACTCATTCTAGATAGGAATCAGGCGCTCTACCACTTGAGCCATGCTCCCAACCCCATTACTGAATTTTTTAAACCTAAAATTAAACTGAATTTATTAAAAAGTTTCACCTTAATACGAACTTCATGGGCCTTAGGGGGTGCGACCTCCACCTCCTCAATGGAAAGGGGTTTCTTTAACTCCCACAGCACAGCTGCTTTGCATTTTATTACCTGGAAAAGAGACAGAAGAATGTTGCTCTTGAAGACAGGAGTTGTCTTTTTTCCTTTGTACATGTCTACATGTATCTAGTCCTATGTCTGGTACCTCACCAGTGTTCCTTGAAATGGGCACTTCCAGAGCTTACCAAGAAAATACAAATACCTTTTAAAAATGTGTAAACGAAGAACATAAGGACAGGGAAACATAATTAAATCTAAGACACGCAGATAAAGTGAGCACATTTTCTAGTCCATCCTGTGTGGTTTTTTTTCTTCACAGGTGTTTTTTTTTACTGATATTTCTGAATGCTGCTTTGAAATTGGTTGTTTACCCACAGCTATTGGCTTGTACATGAAGGTCTATGATTTTATCTCTGCTGTTATGATGATGATTATTTCTTGTGGTGCTGGGAATTGAACTCAGGACTTTGTGCATGCTAGGCATGAACTCTGTAACTGAGTTACACCCCTGGTCCTTGGATTGTTGATACTGGGTTTGGATGTGTCACTCAGGCTATACTTGAACTGACTATGCAAACTAGGCAGGCCATGTCCTCAGGATGCTTGTGCTTGTGCCTCCTGAGTGCTGGTATTACAAACATATGTCACCATGCTTGGCTAGGATTTTATTATTTTGCAGGCAGAAGAATTGTTATCATAAATGAAGGGTTATCACAGAACTAAGTTACTGACAATGTACTTAAGAGATTAACTTCCTATTACATCTTTTCTTATTTTAATTAATACAATTGGTTTACGCTTCTGTCCTGTGAATTCACTACGTTTTATGCTGAGTTATGGTAAGTTTAATTTTTCTTTTATATAATAATTTTCTTTGAAATATAATATGCCATGATAAGTAACTGGACATGAGAAAAATGAAATGAGGTAGATTACGAATACTAACCATGGTCCATTTATGTGATTTCCATCCAGTTTTGTGGATGTGGGGTTGATGTGTCACACAGTGTATGTAGAAACCTCAGACACTTTCAATGGAATTGTCATAGTGAGATTGTTCTGTGTGAACCATGCCTAAACCATCAAGTATTTCCAGCAAATATTTACTAGAAACAAAGGCACAGGCTTTTGTAATGAAGCAGTTAATCAGTATGAATTAATTATATTGAACAACTGTATGCATTTCTCTGAACTTTAAAGACATTGAACAAATAAGAATGAATTTGTGGAAAATTGGGTGTTCTCATTGCTAACAGTGATTCGACTTGAATTAGTATTTCTTTTCTGTAAATTACTTTCATTTTTGTACAGAGAAAGTACTGTTCTGTGAACTTTCTGTGGAAATTTTATGCCGTGTGCTATATTGGATGGTTCTAATGGTTTGAAACCAATATGCCTTTTGTAAGAGATTTTATGAAATGTGAAGAAGATATCTCAAATCTTCTGAATAAAATTTCTCTCTCAAAACACTAGTCAGTCTAGACTTTATTGTGTTCATTATAATGTGACTACAAAGAGTGGTGCATTTAGTTATGCTTTCTTGATATAAAGTTAGCCTGTTGGTTAAAGACATTTCAAATTTTAGATTTACAAATTGGTCACAATTGGCTATCACATTTCTACAAGTGATACAAGTATAGAAAAGGAAGACTTTAACAGATACAAATTCCATATGTTTTTGTTAAAGATATTTGTGATAGTTTAATCTCATTGTAGTCATAGATGTCATACATTACAGCATATTTTGAATATTGCATTTGAACATATATTATTTCTAATTTAGATGTTAATTTTAGATTATGCACAGAAATTGTGTCCTTTAATATATAAAATTAGAATGTATTTCCAGCAGTAGAATCTGCTTAGCTTACCTTTCCTGCTGTGCTCATGTTGCTTCTGTCTGCTCTGCAGACCAGGAGACTGTTGATTCCCTGGGGAGGTCTTCTCTGCTTGAGTACATGAAGTCAGTGTTGCACACAGAATTTGTTTGTTTGATTATCAGCACATTTGATCTGAGACTTTAAGCTACACAAACACATATTTCCACACTGAGTTAATAAAAAACAAAGGACCCTGAACTATCATGCAAAACATTGATTCACTGATTTTGTAATATTCCAATTGCACACAACATTTTTTTTCTCATTAAGTAAATATTTCCTTATATTCTCTCTCTCTCTCTCTCTCCCTCTCTCTCTCTCTCTCTCTCTCTCTCTCTCTCTCCCTCATTCAGGTAACAGTCCCATTTTCCTTTCTCTACAGTAAGCTACAACTTCAAATCCCTGTGGTACAATTAGGAAGAAAGAGAAGTAAGGAAGCAGGGGAAATTATTAAGACAGATTGAGCCGTTGGCTAGAGGAGTGAGTTTGTGCCAGCATGTTCCATCTCTTTATGGCAGAGAAACAACATACAATCATCACAGCAAAGGCACTCACACGCTGCCGTCTTTGCTGAGTAGAACACCAATCAGCATTGAATAATCACCTATGTCAGCCATGAATGTGGGTCCAGGTAGTGGCAGTGATGGGTAACAGATGTCTTCCACCTGTGCCAAGAGGCAGTGTGGGGCACTGGTTATGGCATGGCCTTTAGGGTCATCTTCCTTACTAGATGTGTGAACTTAGATTTATTATTTAATAGTCCTTTGTCTTAGCTTATTTATTTATGTATTTATTTTTGGTGGTACTGGGTTTGAACTCAGGGTCTCACGCTTGCTAGGCAGGAGTTTACCACCTGAGCCACTTGCCAGCCCATTAGTTTTCTTTTTATGAGAATAGAGTGAATGATAATCCCACTGAAGAGAGTCACTGAGCATAAATAAAATGATCCATGCCAATAGAAAAATCCTCAGTAAATACTAGCTACAATCATTATCCAGGCTGGTGTTGAGAGTTTTATAGTATAAATAAAATGGGAAAATCACAAGAACATCAAAGGATAAGAAGTGGGTTGGTATGTCCTCAATTAGACATTTAGGGTTATTTGAGCTCTCTCTCTCTCTCTCTCTCTCTCTCTCTCTCTGAATTACCATTTGTCTGCAATTCTTGTGTCTTTTCACTAGCTGTCTATCACTCATTTGGGTCAGGTGTCTGGGTCTGATGTCTGGTGGTGAAGCAATCAGTTAAACCAGAAGATTGAGGTTATGCAGGTGTAGAAAGCCACAGCATCTTTGAAGATGTCTTAAGTTGATGAGTGGCAACACATGAATCCTAAGACATATCTGTCTGATTCAGAAGCCCATATCTTTTTTACAACTCTACTAAAAGGCATGGGGAAGACAGACTTTGAAATATTAAGCTGCATACCCACAGAGGTAGCCCCCACATTTTGTAAAGTTTAAGAAAAATAACACAACTGGAAGAGGTTTAGCAACATCCTACTCAAATTCCTCATTTTTTGGGCAAAAGGGTTTGGAAACCAAGGTGACTAATGTTTACTTAAAGATATTTAGAAAGAAAAAATGGCAATTATTTGCCTGCTGGTGCATGCTGTCTAATAGGTATTGTGGGTTGAAGCAAGGTATGGACCAAAACCAAAAACCAAGTATCTAGGGTATGTGTTTATTCTATTCAAATCCAACACTATAAATCAAGAATCTACTAAATATTTTACTTTGACTCTGAAGCCAAAGCTAGTGAGTTAAAGTGATCTCCTTTTCCCCCAATATAGAAAATCTAAGCTCATGGATTGGTAGAATCAACAATGTGACAATTGTCATACTTCCAAAAGCAATCTACATGTTCAAGGCCAATCCTTATCCAAATTCCAATGATATTCTTTACAGAAATAGAAAAATCAATCTTAAAATACATATGGAAACACAAATGATCTCAAATAGCCAAAGTAATTCAGAATAAAAAGTCCAATGCTGGAGGCATCACAATACCTGACTTCAAACTATATTACAGAGCCATAACAATTAAAAATAGCATGGTACTGGCACAAAAACAGACAGGGAGACCAACGGATTAGAATAGAAGATCCAGACATGAACACAGGCATCAATAGCCAACTGATTTTCAACAAAGGATCCCAAAATCCATGATGGAGAAAAGACAGCCTCTTCAACAAATTTTGCTGGGAAAACTGGCTATGTACATGTAGAAGACTGAAACTGATGAATGGATCAGGAGAATGTAGCATATATGCACAATGGAATATTACTCAGCCATAAGGAATAATGACATATGGCTTGAAGGTAAATGGATGCAATTGGAGGACATCATGTAAAGTGAAGCCAGCCAGGATTAGAAACCCAAAACCCACATGTTTTCTCTCATACATGGAAGATAGATCCAAAGATGAACATATACATAAAAACAAGCATAATCATATAGAAACTCATCTGTAGAACATGTTTATAACAGTGGAACTATTCTATGGAACTCGGGGAAAGAAGATAAGGAAAAGAGATTGATAGAGCAATAGTAATATTGCATAACATAAAATGTGAAGGTAGAGGATATAAGATGTGTATTGAAAGCTGTTTAAAATGGGGGGGGTGAGAGGTAAAGGGGTAAGGGAGAATATGCGAAGGGATTGAACAGACCAAAGTAAAGCACATCTACTTAGGGCATACATTGAGATACCACTTTGAACATCAACTTAAATATTAATAATGAAAATGAGTTCTATAAAACAGGTACAGTGTGTGTGTGTGTGTGTGTGTGTGTGTGTGTGTGTGTGACAGGGAGGGGTACTAGTATGAGGGTAGAAGATGATGGAAGGAGATCAAGGTGACAGTATATGGCAAATGGACTTCATATGCCTCTATGAAGCAGAACTAAGCAGTATCTTCTAATTTCTTTATGTGGAGTGGGGAGGGGGTTGAGGGTAGAGACAATGGTAGCAATGTAAATACTGTACAATAGGAGTCTGATTGGAGTTGTTACAATGAATCCCCCACCTGTATAATGAATATACCCTAATAAAAAATTATAAAAAGGAAATCAAAAAAGATACAAAATGAGGCAAAGGAAGACAATACAAGATATGAGAGGGGAACATAAAGATATAGGAAGTTTCAAAAAATGAAAGAAAGAAAGAAAAGAAAGAAGGAAGGAAAGAAAGAAAGAAAGAAAGAGAGAGAGAGAAGGAAGGAAGGAAGGAAGGAAGGAAGAAAGAAAGAAAGAAAGAAAGAAAGAAAGAAAGAAAGAAAGAAAGAAAGAAAGAAAGAGAGGGAGGGAGGGAGGGAGGGAGGGAGGGAGGGAGGGAGGAAGGAAGGAAGGAAGGAAGGAAGGAAGGAAGGAAGGAAGAAAGAAAGAAAGAAAGAAGAAAGAAAGAAAGAAAAAAAGAAAGAAAGAAAAACTATGGAAATAAAAACTGCTTAAGTCAAATCAAAAATATAATCCAAGCCCCTCGAACAGACTGGAAAAAGTAAAAATAGAATTTCAGGGCTTCAAGACAAAATAGATATGATGAAAAAAAAAAAGATCCTTCTGCCTCAGCTTCCTGAATTGCTGGGATTATAGGTGTGCACCTCCAAGGCCGGCAATGCTAGAAGTTTTTTTTTTTTTTTAAATTTTATTTTATTTTATTTTTTATTTTTTTATTTTTTTTCTCATTTTTCTTTTATTATTCATATGTGCATACAAGGCTTGGTTCATTTCTCCCCCCTGCCCCCACCCCTCCCTTACCACCCACTCCACCCCTCCGCTCCCCCCCTCAATACCCAGCAGAAACTATTTTGCCCTTATCTCTAATTTTGTTGTAGAGAGAGTATAAGCAATAATAGGAAGGAACAAGGGGTTTTGCTGGTTGAGATAAGGATAGCTATACAGGGCATTGACTCACATTGATTTCCTGAGTGTGGGTGTTACCTTCTAGGTTAATTCTTTTTGATCTAACCTTTTCTCTAGTTCCTGGTCCCCTTTTCCTATTGGCCTCAGTTGCTTTAAGGTATCTGCTTTAGTTTCTCTGCGTTAAGGGCAACAAATGCTAGCTAGTTTTTTAGGTGTCTTACCTATCCTCACCCCTCCCTTGTGTGCTCTCGCTTTTAAAAGTTTTTGCTTTAATGCCTGTACACTTCCATAATTGAAAGTAGTGGCTATGGAAGCCAGATATGGTTGCACCTGAACTAACTTTAAATATCCTAAATCTTTAACCATTTAACATTAGTAAATTCTCTCTGAACTTTGTGCAGTGTCAGTATTGGAGCCATGAGATTTATCAAAGGTGAAATTACTACTCATAAATTCATTCTGAGACTGATAATTAATATCAGAGTTTTCCCCGAGAGCATAGTATTTACGAGTTGAGAAAAATAGGCAGCTGAGGAAAATGATGAGTCCTGGGAGAATTGAAAACAAATTGTGTCTACTTCATGATTTATTCTTCTGGCTCATTTTAACTGTGGCTAACACATAGGTAGGAGACATAATCTTAGTGCTAAAGCAATGGTGTGGCTTTGAACACGTACCTGTCTGGGGAACTCTACTGCTGAAGATAAGCATTTTAAATATACATTTTATCTCTTCTATCTTATTGTTTCATTCATTCCATAAATGTTTGTAACACAGTTGAAAAATTATGCATACATTTCAGACATGCAGTCAAATATGCTTTTAAAATTATGTCTAAAAATGTGGGTTATGCAAAAATTGAAGTGACCATTTTAGGCTAGGTTGGTGGCGTGCACTTGTATCCCAGCACTCAGAAGGCTGAAGCAGGAGGATCAAGATTTGGAGTCCAGCCTGGGAAACAGAGACACTGCGTCAGGTAAATAAATGAACAAACAATAAACTACCTGTTTTCCTTCAGTTGTACTCTTTATCTTTTAGTAAAAGAAGTACACAGTTTCCCTAATTCTCTCTGAGGACATCTAGGTGAGAAGAGTTTTATGACCACCTGGCTGGGGGAAGATGCTCCCTGTCCCCAGGCTTGAAGCTCATTGTGAATCTCATTTCATGCCCTACGGCTGCTGGCCCCCTGCACATAGAAGGCCTCACCTTGGCAGAACTGAAGACAGGGACAACCTAGTGTCCCTCTGCTGATCACTTAGCTCACCTTTGCTCTCACTGGTAAAACAAATCCCATGACCTCCCTGAGACCTCCTGCTGTAGGAGGTCCATCCCAAGCCAGGGTTGTGGGTCCTGTTACACCCAACCACTCCAGGCCCTGTGGGTAGAACTGTCATCAGGCTGTCCACAAAGCACCTGGTTTCTCATTCATTCCCCACTTCTCCCTGGCTCTGCCTTGTTATAATGTTGATAAAGGAATATTTCGGTTTTTGTCTTGCCTTGCTGTGATAGAAAGCTGTGAAAAGCAAACCTTCCAGCCCAATTTCTGTCTTATCACTCTTTATTGCCTAACGAGACTCTCATCTGGCTTGGCCTCAGGTTGTGCAGGTAGCCACTGATTGGGCTCTATGCAGATCCATACAAGACCCAAAGCTTTCTTCTTCCTACAACATCCCTGTTCTTCCTTAACATCCAAACCTAACTGAAATCAAAGAGATATGGAAAAATTTAGAAGTTATGATTTCCTACTTCTCCTTTTCCTATTTTCATCTCACAAGCCTAAATACCAGAATGACCAGTTTGTCTCCATCCTCTGCATCATATTCTCTTCCTATCATTGGTCATTGTGAGCAAACCCAGGTGTGCTAGGCAGAAATGATAAGTATTTCTACTATGCTAGAAATCTAATGTTCTTAAGTTTAAGAAAGTGGAGAAGAAAAGAATACAGAAACTTCTCTCCCCTAAAAACATTGCTTTTAAGGTTTTTGTGCTACTGCAAAATTGTATTTTAAGTGACAAGAAGAGAATGGCAACAATATTGATCCACATTCCTCTGGCCACAAGTCTTATGAATGTTTCAGGTCATCAAAAAAAGGTCTTAAAAGAAGTTACTGCCATACAAAAGCAAACAATTCTAATTCAGAATGCTATGCAGAAATGGCTAGAAAATTCCAGTGTCTTTCAAACATCCTTCAAACAAACAGGCATGTTGTTGAATGGAAACATCTGCTTTCTGTCCTTCTGGACCCATTCCTGTCATCCTGGAATCTGAAATTTATCATAAGCTCACTGAATAATTTTCAGTATTCACAGAACTTCAGGATTAGTACGTGAAATACAGATGAAATGTCAGTGGTCTTTAGGAAACAAGACCTCCAAGTCAGGCGTATACCAAAGACACACTTGCTTTTTCTGCAGGTTCGCCCTTGTTGTACTACTGCCCAAAGAAAAAGCAATATTTATCGTTCCATATGTTCATGTTACAGGTAGAATGACACCACACATTTCAACTGTGTATTGAAGTGTGTTCACTTAAATAAAATTCGCAGAATAGAGCATAATCTTACCTTCATGGGACTGAAGTCTATCTGGCACACCAGGTACTAACTGGAATGAGGTAAACAATCAAGAATAGTACCTGGTCCATGGAGTCAGGGTTTCCAGTTTCTTTCTATCAAGTTATCACATGATTTCTGCAATGGTTGCACTAATTTACCTTCTCATCAATAGTGAATAGGTTCCTCTCTGCCCATCCTTGCCAGTATTTCACATCAGTGAAAGCACTTTGTTAACTCTTTTAAAGGACAGCTACAGTCATATCAAAGACCAATGAGATATGTAGGGATTAAGACAGGCCTTCAGAATTCCCCTGAGATCAAACTGTGGTCACCGCTTCATGATTCTTCAACAGCATGACTCTCTGAGGAAGAGAGAGTGTTCTAAATGTTTGGTGGACATAGAATTGTTCATTTTGTTTTTTTCTTTTTTGGTGCTGGGATCGAACTCAGGGCCTCGCGCATGCTAGGCAAGCACTGTACCACCGAGCTACATCCCAGCCCTTAGAATTGTTCATGATAGCCATTGTGTCTGGGCCACATGGAATATCTATCATTGTGACTTGTATTTTATTTATGACTAAGGATGCTGAACACTTTTCATGTATTTTTTAGCCATTTCTTTTCTTCTCAAAATTGCTTAATTTATTTGCCCATTTGCTAATTGGATTATTTGTTCATGTGGTGTTTATTTTTTTTAAGATTTTTCTATCTTCTAGAAACTAATCCCTTATCTAATGAACACCTTGCAAATATTTTCGCTCATTGTGTGGGCTGTTTCTTTATCACGGTAATTATTTCCTGTGAATGGCTATGATGAGTAATGCAAACAGCAACCAATGCTGGTGAGGAAGCAGAGATGCAAGCATTTGAGAAAATACTGGACATCACTAGGGAATCAAAACTATGATGAAATGTCACTCCATACCTGTAGAAGGCTACTGCCCAAAAGACAAATGGTGTCAAGCGTTGGCTGGCTTAGGGACAAAAGAACCCTTGTACACTGATAGTAGGAATTTAAATTAGTACAACTATTACCCAAAAAGGCTTGGTGGTTCCTCAAAAAATAAAAATAAAACTTCCATATAATCCTGAAATTCCACTTCTGATTTGTCCAAAGAAAATAGAATCCATATGTTGAAGTTTCATCTGCACTTTCATGTCCATCAAGGCAGTATCATAATAGCCAAGATGTTCAATTAACTGAAGTGCCCATCAACAGATGAATAGATATAGAAAATGTGATATTTACACATGCACACACACACACACACACACTGAAATACTATTCAGCTTTAAAAAAAAAACACTGCCATTTTGTCAATGTGGTTAAACCCAGGGGATATTATGACTATGACACAATGCAGCTTATGAAACATGAACAAATTGTTTTTGACCACCTTCCCAAAGTCTAAAGACAGCTGATAATAGTTTATATTATTTTGACAGTTACTTGGCCAAATTTTTTTCAAATAATGAAAATAGCAGTTGCAATACCTGTAAATTATAAATAATGAAATAAAAATGCTGATATTTGAAATATTTATTTCATTTCCTTACAATTTCTTTAGAAGGGAGTAAAGTAGTAGATTGCCAGTCTTTTAGTAAAAAGCACCACCAGTTACAATTATAGCGAAATTTAAGCTGGGTGTAGTGGTGCATTCTTATAAACCCAGCTGTTGGGAAGCTGAGGTTGGATGAAGGTGAGTTTGGGGCAAGCCTGGGCTACCTAGTAAGTTCTATACCAGCATGGGCTGCTTGGTAGAAAAGGAAAAAAAAAATGAACTTAATACTTCAACCCCTTTTTCAGATCCAAGTTTCTGTGATGATCAGCCTGTTTTGTACATTTCTATTTAATTTTAAAATACCTTAATAGTAATAAATGGGGATTTTTAAAGTTTCTTTTGTCCCCTCCAGAACTCATATTGGAATTTAGTTGCAATGGTAACTGTCTTAAGAGATGGAGGACCTTTCAGTAATGATCAAGACACAACAGCTTTACCCTCATTGAAGGGGGGGATTAATTGCATTCTAAAGAACAAATTTAGGCCCCTCTTCTTGTCTCTTACCCTCTTGCCTTACATCAAGGGTGACATAACAAGAAGGCTCTTGTCAGATGTGATCTCTTGGTCTTGGACTTCCCAGTATCTAGAACTGTGAGTCAATAAATTTCTGTCCTTATAAATTACTCAGTCTCAAGTACTCTGTTAGAGCCACACATCATGGAACAAGATAAACATCTTCACCACAAATATCTGATGCTGTGTTTTATATCTTATATTGGAGATGGAACTTCCTCTCTTGTCTGCACATCTCTAAAACCAACTCACTCTGAGTCCCTCCACTCACCTCTAATGCCCTGTCCAAGGATTTGCAAGAATGAGTTTCTAATGTGACAATATGATCTTATCACCAGCTTGTTCAGAAACATTTTAATGGAACCCCATTTCCCAGAAGACAAAAATCTAAACTTCTTGCAAGATCTCAGAACTCTCTGGTACCTGACCTCAGATATTTCTCATTGTGAAGTTTATAGGCAATCAACACCAAGTGTTTGAATTCCTTAAAATGCTCTGGTCTTTCATTCTCAACCCTTGGCCTGTGGTGCCTTCTCTCAATTTTCCTTTTATCAAATCCCTCCTCATCCTCTAAATATAGGAGTAAATATTTACATTGGGTAATAGTCAACCTAACAGCAGAATGGAACTTTCAGTTAGGCATCACCACTTTCCATTGTGGTAATTGTTATTCCTTCTCCCTCCTCATTTCTTTCCTTTTCCTGTGAACTATTGGGGAGATGCAGAAGAGATCAGAAAACCTCAAACTTCTTATGCTCAGAAGTCAAGAAGCATATTCTGTGAGAGTCCATGAGAGAAGAGAAGGCAGCAAACATGAAATAATGGCCACCAGACCCTCCAAACTCTTCCTGCTATTCATTGTCATTTGAGGATTTTGGAAAGAAAACACCAAACCAAAAGTCTTAACAATTCCCTTCTTTTGATGAAGGGATTCCCTCCAGCTTTCGTTTCCTTCCAATTTCTTGAGGCTTGATCATATTCAGAAGGATTCTTATTCCTTAAATTACTCCCCACGGTCTTCCTCCCACCCACTCTGCAACATGGTATCACCGAGGTGATATTTCTTATTTACATTTACAACCAACTAAAAATATCTTTCAAAACTCTAACCATATTTCATTGAGACGATTAGTTATCTATGAATTATTAGTTTCTGAGTGAGAAATGCCCTTAAATACCAGGCTTAGATTTTCCTGAAGATCTCTGTGACCTGCTTTTGTTGATAATAAAGCTACTGTTTATTTGTTGATATGTCAGAAACTTCAAGGAGCAAGGAGGGATAGAAGGCAGTTCTTCCTCACTCTCTATAACTTAGTTCTGAGTACCTTTGTGAGTTATTGAGCAACCTCTGGTTCTCTTAATAATGATGACAGTGCTGTGAACTGGATTCTTAGTCCCAGGTGAATGAAAGGAGAAAGTCAGGATGTGACCATTCATCTACTCAGAATAGTGTATGGTCCTAGCTGTACTGCTACAATTCTAACATTATTCCTGCCTCACGAGTATTTGCTTCCTTGCTTCTCCTCTTATGCAGTATCTATTACCTGAATATTGCTGGTATTTGTTACACTAATAGATTTTAATGTAACTTGATGAAGTTGTTCACTTAATATTTTCAGAAAATGTCCAGGAGAGTTTATAATAGAGTGACAAAGGTACAACAATCATTTCTTAAGAAAATGGAATAATCAGAAGTATGTCATTATCACATACAAACTCACTCTAGCTTTAACTTTTGAGTAATGGTCTAGAAATTCTGTTGAGACAACTTTCGAGTCTTAGAGAAACTTTGATGACTTGTAAACTAGTACATGTTATATCATCTATGTTATTCTTGTTTGCCTATGGATGATTTCTGGAAGTGTTAAGTATTTCAGAGTTATCACATCAAGAATGACACTTGTTTTTATTTAAGAGAGCAATTTATAATCACTGCCAATAAAGTAGTATAGAACAGGTTACCATATGAACATGTGTGAGATTCCCTTTGATTTACTAAGAAATTCCCTAGATTTAAAAGATTTATATCTTTTATTTTTTTTATGCTGGGATTGAACCCAAGGCCTCATGTGTGATAGGCAATCACTCTACTGTTGAGCAAAATCCTCAACTTAATCCCCTCTGCTTTTCTCTAGGGCTTTGATACTTTCATAAATATGAAAACAGACAGTGGAGACAGAGGTAGAGGTGGAAATTTTTTAGCACAACAGCCTTTGATGTGTATCTTGGAGGAGTAATTTCCCCTCCATAAGTTTCAGTGATTGATGATCAAAAAGATAGAAAAAATACAGGAAATTAGAAGATGTCTTTCCTCAGTAGGAAAGGTGACACAAGTAGAATGACTAAGAGGGAAAGTGTAGTAGCCTCATTTTCCCAGCTGGTGTTTAACAGCTCTCTATTGGAGATTTTAAACATTTGATTGAAAAATGATTTCATGGGCATTTATATTTCTTTTGGAAAGCTTCTACCAGGAATTTACTGATCATTTCTGTAAAGAACAGAATTCATGATGGCAGGTGCTCCAGACGCTGTGGCATGGAGGAGTCAAAAAACTGCTGTCAGGGAAGGCATCGGTATTTTCTCAAAACGTCAGGACAGTACGGATACTGAAACAGAACAGAGAGGACGTTGTTTTAACATTTAAAAAATTCACACTCTCCATGTAAGTGAATGAAGCACTCAGTGATGCTCAATGAAAAATCTACCTGTATTCCCACTCTATTCCCATCCCTATTCAAGAAGGCAACATCACTGTAAGAGCAATCTATCCTTTCCTGGTTCTCTCTTGTGTTTTTTCTGATCTTAAATTCACTCAAAACATTTGAGATTTCCATGCAAATTTCAGTTCTCCATAAGCATCTTTAAAAAGACATTTTTTGATAAACAGTAGGCCTGGCATCAGAAATATAACAGTGCAGAATAACATGTAATGCATTCTTGCTATTTGTCATGTACTTTGTAAATGTTTTTCTCACATAATAATATGAGGTATAGTTTCATATTAGCTCTGTTTTAGAGATCACAAAAATTGAGACTTGGATTTGTGGCTCTAGGTCACACATCTTAATATGTGATGTGTGTTATTATTTAAACTCCAATACAACTTTTCACAAATTATAATGTGATACATAAATTGTCTTAAAGAACTGATAGTTTGATAAATGTAAGACTATGTTAAAGGTTTAATAGAACTTTGATAAAGATATTTTTATGACTTCTTAGATAATAAAGTTGTTTTTATTAATTCTAAAAGACTTCGTTCTTGGGAAGATTAGAACTATAATCCTCGTTCTAAAGCCCATTGTATAGTGGATAAATACTTTTAGAAAAAGATGATCTGCAAATCTTTCAAAATCATTTTTCACATTTAAATACATTTTAAAAATATAGGCAGATAATCTAGAAAATACAGGACAGCATAAGGATGAAAGAAAAATGAAACTATGATTCAATAATTTAGTAAAATTCATTTCTAATATCTTCTCAAATTTTAATCAATGTTTTAGACATATATACACTTTCTACTATTCTCATTAGAAATTTGGGAACACATTGTACATGCAAGTTTGAATTCCCATTTTATGAGTCTAAAAAAGACACATCATGAGAGTCTCCCAATACAATGAAATCATTTTTAAATGGCCTGTTGATTCTAATATGTGATTGGTATTTAATTAACCATATTCTTAATGTTAAACTTTTAGAATATCTCTAATTTTTGATATTATAGTTAACAGGCAAATACATGTATACATACATATACACATATATAAGTGTGCATATTAATATCTATATAATAGACTTTTAGAAATGGAATTACTAGAACAAAAGTGTATTTTTAAAAAAATTTTCTGATAGAAATTGTCAAGTTATACTTTCTCAAAAGGCATAACAATTAATATTGAGATAAACAGTACATTAAAGTGCCCATTTAATCCTCTGATTATCAATGCCAACTAACATAATTTAAAATTTTTGCTTAATAATAAGGTTAATTTTATTTAATTCTATAATTCATTGTAAGGCATTCTCATAAAGATAATTCTGGCTTGCTTAATGAATTCATTTGCTGCTCAACAGCACCCTCTGGTTTTGGTTATCTCCATATTTGCCCTCATTTTTTTCAACCTGATAATGATGAAAAGGAGAAGGAGGAGGAGGATATGGACAAGGATGATGCTGGTAACTAATATCTGACAACTTCTATATCCTATAGCTTTTGAGTTCTTGATAGATAGTATAGTTTCATATAATGAAAATTGACTTTGCTAACAAATACATCTAACCTTGATTTGGACTTCCCTGCCTACTAGCAGCACAATTTTGGCCAATCACATTCTCTCAGAGGCTCAGTTTTTCTCCTAAGATAGTGAAATTGGGACCAGCATATCAGCATGTTTTAGGAATCACATGAGGTAACACAGATAAGAGCATTTGTGGAGCAGCTGGTGCTGTGTGGATATTATTTTCTTTCCTTCCTCAAGAATATTTGTCAGAGAAGTATCTAATATGATATTTTACATGTGTGTGTAAGAAATACCATTTAACATTTAAAACCTCATGAGAAGTATGTGGTAGCAGAAAATGCATGAACAATGGAGCTAGAAGGAGGGGGTTAGTTGTAAATAATAAGTACTAATATTCAATGTAGATGCCAAAATTCATCTAATTAGGTGCTTGTGTTATATATTAGACATAGGTGACTTTCCACATTCAGAGTTGAGATATTTAGTACTTAAAATATTTAAAATGGCACTTTGTTCCCTTCCTCTTTGCTAGAACTTTTGTTTGTGAAAAATTCTTTGTAAGCTGTGTTAAGAAACAAAAATAATAGTATTTTTTTTACAAGAAACTAAAAGTGTAGAAAAAATCACAATGCAGTTCTTACCTACTCTTATATTGAAAGTTGTGGTGATGCCTAGAATACAATTTTAATTTACAACAATTAACAGTGAGTCTTAAGTGACCAAGCAGAGGCTCCTATAACTCCATAGTACAATTACGACTGAGTGATTCTGACACTTTCCCTGGCAAAGGCAAGTGCTCTCTTAGAAAGAAGGTTGAATGATCACTCAGATTTGATGTAAACAACACAGAAAAGGAGGCCAGGAAATATAAAGCAACTATTCTTAGCTTCTCAGAATGTAATCTTAGATCTTATACATGCAAAGACTGAACTGGTGATGGGAAACTAAGGTACGACAATGTTTTCTCATCCTTCCTCCATCCCACCATAAAAAGAAACTTATAATTTACCTCTTTCCAGAGCGAAGCAGATCAAATCCTTCATTAATTTTTTCAAAAGGTAAAACATTGGTGATTAATGGATCCAATGGAAACTTCTTAGCCATAAAATCAGCCACAAGTTTGGGGATAGAATCTTTGCTCTTAAAGCCTGAAAAGAAGAGAACATAACTGATAGATTTAGTCAGTGCAAAGTGGAGAATTTAAGAGGCCTCTCTCCAATAAAATTAAAAGTTCTAAAAACACAATGTTCTACACACTGCTATTGTTGAGGTCAGTAAGTCACAGAGTGGTTCAAAAACGTTTTTGTATTGCTTTGACCTTTTAATCCTCCCACATAAACTAGTGTCCTCAGCTAGCCTCTGGGTTCTTATTCTTTCATTAAAGAAATAAAGCACCCCAAATGAAGGACGAAATTTAGCAGTCATACTAATTTGGGCAATTAGTATGGACATGAATTATTGCTATAGATTTCCTGTACTTTTTATTTCTCCCCCTGCCCCCACCCTCTCCCTTACCACCCACTCCGCCCCTTCCCTCTCCCCCCACCCCCTTGATACCTGGCAGAAACTATTTTGCCCTTATCTCTAATTTTGTTGAAGAGAGATTATAAGCAATAAGAGGAAGGAACAAGGGTTTTTGCTAGTTGAGATAAGGATAGGTATACAGGGAGTTAACTCACATTAATTTCCTGTGCATGTGTGTTACCTTCTAGGTTAATTCTTTTTGATCTAACCTTTTCTCTAGTTCCTGGTCCCCTTCTCCTATTGCTATGAATTATTGCTATAGATTTCCTGTACTTTACTAGGAATTTTGCACCTCATAAAGTTACAATCATAAAAAGAGCTGGTGCTGAATGGTACCAGTTAGCTTATGTGGACCCCAGAAAAGTCTGTCTTGGGGACTTTTCTTTACATTACTTCTATATCTAGCAGATTTGGAGCCCAAAGATACAACAAGAATTTTAATTTGTTTTTGATGACATTGAATTTCAAAATTGATTCTGTGTCTTGTAAAATGGAAAAAATTTTGAGGTTAATAAGAATTTAGTTCTCAAATCTAACTACATACCACCAAATAGTGCTCCTTTCCAGGTGCGTCCAGTCAATAGCGCCATAGGGTTCATTGAGAGGTTTTGGGAATCAGGAGGCACCCCTACAATGACACTCACACCACATGCATCATGACAGCTTGCCAGGGCAGAAACCTTGAATAAAAACCAATCTTTAGCATCCTTAATTAAAATGGGTTCTCTTATAGACCCAAATCACAATACAAAGTATCATGTAACATTGATTTAGCTAGATTCTAATTGTGGCAAGGGAAGAAATTATGTCTTTTGCTTCTTCTTTCCCAGTTGTGCCTAAGATAGTTCTGTGGCTTTAAGAAATGCACAGGAAATATTTGTGTGTGTGAAAGAATAAGTCAATGAATTTGTGCATACTTAAGTCTCCCTTATTAACTAATAAACAGGCAAATATCATTACAAGCATACATAAAGTCTGGATCCTCAAAAACGAATATTGCTTCATTATCACAAGATTTTCAGGCAACCTATGAGTTGGTTAATTCATTTTATATTTATCTATTAAGTAGATATTCTGGATCTAGTGCTTTGAACCAGGTGAATAAGACAGGATGATTACATTATAAAAATCTGTGTCTTGTGCCCTGGGTAATTTATCTCTCTTTAGTAGACTCCTATTCCTCTGTGCATTTCTAAGATGTATGTGTTTTCAAAGATGTGTTTTACTTGCAAAAATGTATGTTCATTTTATAAATTGTACTTATTCAGTAATACACAAGATATAGAATGATTAGTCATTTGATTTTGAAGTATAGCATTTAGAAGATCAGATATCCTCAGAACATGTGGCCATCATTCATTTGGTGCCCTTGAATAACAATCCAATTCTACATGAGAATACAGGGAAAATGTTAAAATAACACAATGTTAAAAGTCTTGCAAGAAGTTAGATTCTCTTGGAACACCAATGACCTGTGATATATTTCCCATCCCAAGTCAACACTATAAAGAACTTTACTCTCAGGATACTGTTCCCTGCCTCCAACACTGCTAAGTCTTACTGGATAACCACAATGATGAGGATTTGCTGGTTTCTGGGGACATTTTTTATTCAATGCTAAAGAACCTTAATTCTGTTTAAGATAGATAGAGAGGTATTCCCCATGGCAATTTATGATATTTGTACTTATTTGAAAGGAGTATCATGTATATTTCAAAGATGCAAGTACTGAGAGCTTAGAAATTGTAATTCCTATCATTAACACTAGTTGACATTTATTAAGAGCTTACCACATAACAGGTGTCACAGTGATGAGTATTTTACAAGCATTATCTTATGTAATTCATAAACAATGGTAAGAGCTATAAATTTCTTAAGTTTTGAAGGTGCTGAAATCTGTTGATTTTTTTAAATATTGACTCCGATGCATGGATATTGAGCATTCCTATGTGCTAACTCTGCTATTTCGGTGGTAAAATACAGTATTACATTAAAGCAGCCACTTACTCAAGGGCATATTGTTTGTTAATAAAATAATGTTTGGCCTCAAATTACTCATTGTTCCTTTTGGACACACGATAAATTGTATGAAAAACTTCATAATTCAATAATACATAACAGCTGTTAAACCATATTTGCTAAGAATGTGGAAGAAAATCAAATTTGCATATTTAAGTACAAAATTTATATTATGTATAGTTACTTTTTGAATTTTTTTACTTAAAAAAAACCTAACCTGCAATGCCTCAATTAGAAAAAAATCTTTCTCTTACTAAAAGAAAAATATTACTTGAGACATATTTTTTTAACTGATGACATGAGGGGTTTCTCATGACAATAAATTAAACCCAAGTCACAATCAGGAGATGGAAAACTGCCATTCTAAAACATCTTTATACATAACATATACTGCAATCAAAAGTGTATTCTAGATAGAATACACTTTTGATTGCAGAAATAGAACTCTTAAGGAATATCATGTTCCCTACCATGGTGTCCAGGCGACCAATGACTTCAAATGAAAAATCCACGCCCCCGTCAGTCATATCCTGTAGCACCTCGTGGATGGGTTTGTCATAGTCTTGAGGACTGATGCACTCAGTGGCACCCAACTCTTTGGCCTTTGCAAATTTGTCTTTGTTGATGTCCACTCCAATGATCCTGGCTGCTCCTGCTGCTTTACAGCCAATGATAGCAGACAGACCAACGCCTCCAAGGCCAAACACAGCACAGGTGGAGCCCTTAGTGACCTGTGTTTTCAGAAAATGAAAAGATGATTGTTAGAAAGTACCCAGGAGGTATAAAGTGCCAAACCTTGTCTGCTACTGTATACTCAGGAGCTACCCAGACTTATGTTCCACCTTCTGTCAAAGCCTCTTTTGTCTACAATTGCTTCATGTTTAAACAGGAGGGGTTAAACTACATCAGTGGTCCTCAAACATTGCTACACATTAATCTCATCTGGAGAGTTTTACAAAGCAGTAAGGTCCAGGTCACATCTCATGACAACTGAATCAGAATCTTAGCATGTAGTACCCCACTTCAGGTCACTCCAAAGGGAAACCCAGGCTGAGAATGAGTGGATTGGGTGATTTTTGAGCACTAAATGTCAATAACTCTAATCTTGAAGAGACTTGCAATAGCTTAGACCCATTGATTTAAGCTTCAGTATCTTATACATATGCAGCATCAGTATTTTACACATGTACACTATCTCTGGGCATGAAGGTGACATAAAGCAATCCACTGAAAGCTGTTGAAACAAGGGGAAGGGGTAGGGAAAGAGACCAATAGAGGGATCTATAGACTCTTTCTACAACTGATGTACACTAACAAAAATTTTTCTTAAAAAATTAAAAATTTGGGGGAAGTGAAATTAGTGGGCAAGATTACCCCAAGAGACTGAAAATGAACCCAGCCAAGCTATGAATAATTAAGTCCTTTCTTGGTTCATGAACTTTCAGTAGTTACAAGTAGTGTAAAGAGAGCAGCAATTAGCTGTGACATATGCAAGTGCTATTCTTGGCTTAAAGCAAATCCTAAACAATAAGTAAAATTCAACTTGTCACTTCAAGATACTATAGCTTCAGATGAAAGTTGTCTTTGAGGGTCTTTATCCCTCCTTTTTATTTTTGGTAGCACAGGCTGGCCTGGAACTTGTGATCCTGCTACCTCAGTTCCCCAATGCTGGAATTACAGGCATGTGCTACCACACCAAGTCTATCCCTGATTTTAAATAAACAAGTGGATAATAATGAAACCAAAAGTTGGTCTGTATTTAACAATGAATGAACTCCATTATTATGATAATCCTTGGCTTACTGAGACCACCTGCTACAACAGATGAAATTCTACAAGGACTGGGGCTGACTGCCTTTTGGGCTGATGTCACAGAAATTTGGAAAAGTTGTGCTATAAATTGGCTACAGGCTGTTTAATTAAGCCTAACCTTCGATCACCAGCCTTTAGTGTAGGTAAAATACTGCTGTTCAAGTAACTTGGTTGTTACATTCCCTTAAGGATGGGATTCACCACTTTCTGTGTTACTTAGAAAAATACAGGACTTGTGATTTGAATGGCAGTCATTGTGTAGAATGGTTTCAGATTCGGCGGGAATTTTGAGAACAATATTTTAGTTTCTGTGTACTTATCAGTATGAAAATTTGAGCAAATACTTTTCTATGTCTGGATCATCATTTCGTAAAAATGGAAGATACTGCTAGATTTTCAACCTTCTGGGAAATAGATGCTTAGAAGTTTTCTACTAGAAATGTACCTCTTCTGAAGCATACGTGCTGGATGAGGGTGTGCACACCATGTGTTCATGGCAAGAAGATATACCAAAATTGAGTACAATGAATCCATTGCTAAAGCTCCATTAATTTGGGATCCACAGAGTGGGTGACCCTTACTTTAATGGTGTCTCAGGTAAGGCTTTAGAATCTCTGTGGATCGTAGTCTGTGCTCCTCCAAGGGAAAGCCTTCATTCCATTTACTTTGGCTGCTCAGAACCTAGCAGAACCTACAGTGATTAATGTATATACAGTTGTTCTGTAAGTGTATATGAGTGACTACATGAGATGCCAGTCCTATTGTTTAGAAATCACCTAAAGAATATTTGTTGACAATTAAATTCTTACTCTTTCATATGAATCAGCAGCATTTCAGTGTGTTTTTAATGGACTTCATCATGACATTTTCATACACATACATATGTACTTTGATTATATCATCCTCATCATCCCTTTGCTTTTTTTTTTTTTTGAGGTAGAGTCTTAACATACTTTACGTTGGCCTCAAACTTGTGATCCTCCTGCCTAAGCTTCACATACGCTGGGATTAGATGTGTACCACCATACTCAGCTTTCAATATCAATTTCATATAGCAGGTGAAATTTGTAGAGCATCCTCTCTAATTCCTCCTGGGGCTAGTTTTCTATTAATAATTGAATAAACACCATGAATCTTGAAAAGGATCTCTGACTCTTGTGAGAAATTGCTCTCCTTTGAGTTTCTGTGAGTTTGTGTATAACAAGTTTTGTGCATCAGTGTGTATCCTACCTTGGCGACTTTGACTGCAGAGCCATAACCAGTTGAAAATCCGCAGCTGATTAGGCAGACTGTTTCCAGTGGTGCAGATGGATCGATTTTGGCCACCGAGATCTCATCCACCACTGTGTACTGGGAGAAGGTGCTGGTACCCAATAAGTGGTGGATGGGCTTCCCCTTGCAGGTGAACCTCGTGGTGCCATCCACCAAGGTCCCCTTAGACTTTCTCAAACTGGTCAGTGAAACACAGACACACAAAGAGCATGAGAAAGAGGCACAACTAATGCAGGTCCTCTTCAGCTGTGCAAGGAGACAATAAGAAACTTACTCGCTTTTCAGACAGAAGTTGCTTTCTGGGTGTTTACAAACTCTGCATTTGCCACACTGGGGGTTAAAGACAGGGATGACTTTGTCACCTGAAGGTGGACAAAAGAAAGTTTCCTTAAATTTCTATCCAGGAATTAATCAAGCCAGAACGTTAAGCATACATGTAGAGGTGTGTGTCTTTGCAAAGTTTGCAAGAAATAGCGTCCAGTCACAACTATGTCATTGGTCCCTGCCTGTCAGCCCTGTTATCCATTGGGTTTATATGTGCCTGAAGGTTCCCAAAGAGGAAATGGGGAAAACAACATGGATTTTAAAAACTATTTCCACTGGCTCAATAGTTAACTTTTATTGCACACCCTGGTTTCTCTTGAGGACTTTGCCCATATCATCTCGCTTAATCCTTGGTTAAACTTTAAATATTCTCACTGTAAGTATAAGTACACATTTTAATTGTCACCCCGTAGCCATAGTTCCACTAGGTATTGGAGAAATCTGATATTTTGTACAATACATACAATAACACTAAAACACATAAAATAATAAACACAATAAAATAAATATTTTACATTAGAAAAACAACAAACTAAACTGGCCATGGATTAAATTCATGATATCTTTAATGATCAATTTTTGGCTTTTTGAAATGATTATGTTATCATATTCAATGTATTTTTTTAAGAATATATCTTAGTTCTTTTTTGAGGAAAACTAATAAAAATGGGAGAAAATTTCAAGAGAACTTACATTCTAATGTTTTGATAATACTTTATGAATTATCTATTTTTTCTGTTGTAGACAGAGCAGGGTGAGAAGTAAGGGAGTCATTTTATTATTAATTTATTCCAAGTAAAGTAAATATTAAGAGCTGAAACTCAAACTAGACTATTAAAATTTTCTGTTCATACTTTAATCTAATAGCTAAAGTGATCTGCTTATAATTAAATGTTCTTTTTTGGGAGCAGTACTGAGGTTTGAACTCATGGCCTCACACCTGCTATGCAGGTACTTTATCACTTGAGGCACATTCCCTGTCCCGTAATTTTTATTTTTAACCATTTATGCTATCTCTCCAGAAGTTCACCAAGAAAAGGTTATCCCATCACATATTATAAAGTATATCTGGGGATGATGGGTGAATGAAAATTTTCTGTTAATTCACCTTTTTACTATGAAAGCATATTAATACACAATGAAAACAAGATAAAGCAAATAGCAGAAATTATTTGCAACCTGTTTTTTTTAGCCATGACTAAAGGTAACATAAATGACATAAATAGCATAAATATTTATGGCTGGACATTTCTTGCTGTTTCTTTTCACTTCCTTCCATATATTCTGTTTTATTATCACTAGGTTTAAGAAGGAAGGTCAGATTGGAAGATGAAATTGGTGAACAGGCTCCACTTCTCACCTAAGACACAATCACGTTGACTCTGTCATAGCCTCCCAGGCTCCATTTTGTGCACTCAGCACAGAACAGTTTCCATTCACTGATCTGATAACTCAGGACCTAGACATTTCACCTTTGTTCCTTTTGCATTCTGTTTGAGTCCTCACAGAAGACAGTGCTAAGCAATGCTAACAGCAAATTTATTACATTTTGAACTCCACTCCAAAGCCACTATGAGTTTTTTGACCTCTCACCTGGTGCTTGGCATCTAATAAATAATAAAATGTTTTGAAGGAGAAACAAAAAGTTATCTGTGACCTTGCGCAAGCTTTCACATCTCCCATTGCTTCAGCTTCCTCATCTTGGATGAATGGCATTGGGATCCTGAACCCAAGTACAAACCCTGAGTTGAATTCTGTACCTGGTTTTACTGTAGTCACCCCTTCTCCAATGCTCTCCACAATGCCAGCTGCCTCATGGCCTGGAATCACAGGGAGAGGAGAGACAATGGTTCCAGCAATCACATGATCATCTGAGCGACAGATTCCCGTAGCCACCATCTGCAGATTAATGAGAAGATGATTAGATCTTGGAAAGAGTTTGATTCTGGAAGATTTATCTCACCCAATAACATGAAATTTGTGCTTCTGAAGAGTTTTCAAGTATCTTGTTAATAATTCCTACTAATTCCAAACACAAACGTCACAGTTTATTCTCAAGATTGTCCAAAACTTTCTTGTCCTGAATTAAACAACTTAGAATAATTTAACCTGTGAGACAATTCTTTCCAAAACATTTGTTTTATATGGTATACAAGAATGCATGCTTTTTTGTGGAGGTAAAAATTACCAAGAAAATAGATATCCCTTTGCACATTTCTGCAAACATATATATTCTTACATTTTTTTCTAGGGTTATGCAATATGTATTCTTTGCTCGCTTCAAAAATAGTTGAACAGTTTAACTAACCTGTGTAATAAATGTAATTTATTATTTAAATAACCTTATAAAAAGTGCCTCTTAACAGATTTTTGGTTTTTCCTATTTTGATTTTCCTCTCTTTTTTTTCTGTACTGGGATTTTAATTCAAAGAATCATGCTTGCTAGGCAGATGTTCTACCACATGAGCCTCCAGCGCCATCTCTGATGTTTTTAAACCTAAACTTAAATAGAAAAAAAGTTTCACCTTAATACGAACTTCGTGGGCCTTAGGGGGGGCAACCTCCACCTCCTCAATGGAAAGGGGTTTCTTTGTCTCCCACAGCACAGCTGCTTTGCATTTTATTACCTGGAAAAGAGAAAGATGTGGCTTTTAAAGTCAGAGGTTGTCTTTTCTCCTTTATATGTGTGACATCCAGCCCCATGTTTGCTACCAAAAGAATACTCCTAGAAATGGATACTTCAGGCTCATAAAGAAAATAAAAATACCATTGAAAAATGTGTAAGGTAAGCACAGAAGGACAAGTAAGCATAATTAAGTATATGACACTGGGATAAAGCAGAACATATTTTTTAGTCCATTTTTCCCCAAACATGTTTTCTTCTGGTGTTTCTTAATTCTGTTTTGAAATTGGTTGTTTACCTACAACTGTCAGCTTGTACATGACAAGACTTCTAAGTTATTAGTGCTGTATTATTATGATGATTTTTATTTGTAGTGCTGGGAATTGAACCCAGGGCTTGTGCATGCTAGGCATGTACTCTACAACTGAGTTATACTCTTGTCCTTGGATTTTTGATACAGGGTTTGGGTATGTAACCCAGATGGCCTTGTACTCAGGATTCTCCTGCTTGAGCCTTCCAAGTGCTGGGATCACAAGCATAAGCCATCACGGCTGGCTAAATTTTCATAATTTTTCAGGTAGAAGATTTGTAAACATAAATGAAGGGTTATCACAGGGCTAAGTTACTGACATTGTGCTTAAGGGGTTGATTGACTAATACACCTTTTTTATTTTAATTATAATGATTGGTTTACATTTTTGTTCTGTGAATTAATGATTTCTTTTACTCTGAGTTGTGTTAAGTTTGATTTTTTTTTAATCTGGTTACTTTTTTGGAACTATAATATGCTATTATAAGTACTAACCAGCAATGAATAAAAATCAAATGGGGTGGAATAAGAATACTAGCAGTGGGCCATTTATGCGATTTCCATCCAGTTTTATGGATGTGGGGTTGATGTGTCACACAGTGTATGTAGAAACCTCAGACACTTCCAATGGAGTTGTCATAGTGAGATATTGTTCTGTGTAATCCATACCTAACCATCAAGTATTTCCAGCATACATTTACTGAAAACAGAGGCACAGGCTTTGGTAGTGAAGCAGTTAGTCAGCATGAATTAATTATATTGAACAACTGTATACATTTCTCTGAACATTAAACACATTGAGCAAGTAAGAATGAATTTGTGGAAAACTTGGAACCAAATGTTTGTTCTCAGTGCTAACAGTGATTCCACTTGAATTAGTATTAGTTTTCTATAAAATCCAGTAGATTTTTGTATGGAGAAAACACTGTTCTGTGAATTTTCTGTGTGAATGTTGTGAATTGTGCCATAAAGTATACTCTTAATTAGAATTTGAATATTGACAGTCTTTCTTAACCTAGGTGACTCTAGTGCTTTGAAACCAATATGCCTTTTGTCAGGGATTTTATAAAAAGGTTAAAAATATATCTCAAAATCCTCTGAATCAAATTTCTTTCACATAACTCTTGTCAGTCTTAAATTGTTGTACTCATAAGAATGTGACTACAAAGCATAACACATTCAGTTATGCGTTCTTAACATAAAGATATTTTGGTTAAAGACTTTTCTAACTTTACATTTACAAGTTAGTCATAATTGGCTACAACTTTCCTACAGATTTATTATGTAAGAAATGTACACGTTGAAGATATTTGTGAGCAGTTTATTCCCATTGTAGTTCAGAATACATAAAATATTATACCACATTTTGCATATTATATTTGAGCATATATTATTTCTAATTTAGCTTTAATTTTAGATTATGCACACAAACTGTGTCCTTTAATATATAAAATTAGAATATATTTCCAACAGTAGAATCTGCTTAGCTTACCTTTCCTGCTGTGCTCATGTTGCTTCTGTCTGTTCTGCAGACCAGGAGACTGATGATTCTCTGGGGAGGTCTTCTCTGCTTGAGTACGTGAAGTCAGTTTTACACACAGAATTTGTTTGCTTGATTATCAGGTGGTTTCACACGTGATCTGAGACCTTAAGTCACACATATAAGCTTATTCTCACACTGAGATAAATAGAAAACAAAGGGCACCAAACTATAGTGCAAAACCTAGATTGTATAACATGACATTTGCACACATTTTTCCCATTAAGTTAAATATTTCTTTACATACTTCCTCCTCTCTCTCTCTCTCTCTCTCTCTCTCTCTCTCTCTCCTCTCCCTCCCTCTCTTTCTCTCTCTCTCTCTCTTATTCAGGTCAGAGTTCTATTTTCCTTTGTCTGCAGGAAGCTACAACTTTCACAACTTTGAATCCATCTGCTGCAATTAGGAGGGAGGAGAGGTAAGGAAGCAGGGGAGATTTAGTAAAACAGATTAAGCCTTGGACTAGAGGAGTTAGTTTGTGCCAGCATTTTCCTCCTCTTTATGGCAGAGAAACAGACATACGATCATCACATCACAGCAAAGGAGCTCACACCCTGCCATCTCTGCTGAACAGAGCACCAATCAGTATTGAATAAGCACCTATGTCAGCCATGAATGTGGGCCCAGGTATGGCAGTGATGGGTAACAGATGGCTTCCACCTGTGCCAAGAGGCAGTGTGGGGCACTGGGTATGGCATGGCCTTTAGGGTCATCTTCCTTACTAAATGTGTAAACTTAGATTTATTATTTAATAATCCTTTGCCTTAGCTTATTTATGTATTTTTTTTTGGTGGTACTGAGTTTGAACTCAGAGCCTCATGCTTGCTAGGCAGGTGCTCTACCACTTGAGCCACGCTGCCAGCCCATTAGTTTTCTTTTTATGAGAATAGAGTGAATGATAATCCCACTGAAGAGGGTCACTGGACATAAATTAAATGATCCATGCCAATAGAAAAATCCTCAGTAAATACTAGCTACATTATCCAGGCTATCATTATCCAGGCTGGTGTTGAGAGTTTTACTGTATAAATAAAACAGGAAAATCACAAAACTTCAAATGACAAGAAGTGGGTTGGTATGTCCTCAATTAGACATTGAGGACTGTTTGTCTTCCCTCTCTCTCTCTTTCTCTCTCTCTCTCTCTCTCTCAATTAAAATTTGTCTATAATTCTCATGTCTTTCCACTAGCAATCTATCACTCAGTTGGGTCAGATGTCCAGCCCAGTTCTGATGTCTAGCAGTGAAGTAATTGGTTAAAACCAGAGGGTTGAGGTTATGCAGGTGTAGAAAGCCACAGCATCTTTACAGACATCATGAAGCTAGTGAGTGGAAAGAGTAGATCCTGAGACATATCTGTCTGATTCAGAGGCCCACATCCTTTTCAAAACTCTATTAAAAGGCAATGGGGAAGAAAGAGATTGAGGAAGACTACAGAAGGTGGAGAGATCTCCCATGCTCATGGATTGGTAGAATCAACATAGTAAAAATGTCTATACTATCAAAAGCAACCTACATGTTTAATGCATTTCCCACCAAAATCCCAATGACTTTCATCATAGAGATTGAAAATCTACCTTAAAATTCATTTGGAAACACAAGAGATCGTGAATAGCCAAGGTAATACTCAGCAAAAAGAGCAATACAGGAGGTATCACAATACCCAACTTCAAACTATATTACAAAGCAATAACAATAAAAACAGCATGGTACTGGCACAAAAACAGACATGAACACCAGTGGAACAAAATAGAGAACCCAGATATGAAGCCACACAACTATAACCAACTTGTCTTTGACAAAGGCACTAAAAATATACAATGGAGAAATATAGTTCTAGTGAAATTTAGCAATGAATCAGTCCTATACTTTTCTTTGTTAGGAGACTTTTAATTACTGCTTCAATCTCATTGCGCATTATTGATCTGTTCAGTATTTTTAAATATCCACTTGGTTTAATTTTGGTACCTCATTCATACATATCTGGAATTTAATTTGTCCATTTTTTGACTGAACTCTTAGCAAGAGTTCAGTCCCTGAACTCTTAGCAAGTCCTTTTAGCAAGTCCTCCTTTTAGCAAGTCCTCTGTTGCTTAAACTTTGCCTCAAGCTCTTTTTGCTTTGGTTATTCTCCTGAATAGGGTCTTGCATTTTTACTGAGGCTGGCCTCTGCTATGAACCCCCTATTTAGGCCTCCAGCATAGTTGGGGTGACAGGCATGTGTCACCATTTTCAGCTTTATTAGGTTTATATTTTATTGTTGTCCTGGGTGGGGGCACATTGCGACATTTCAAAAGATCTTATAATGTATCAAATATATCATATTTGAATTCACCCCCTCCGCCATTCTACTTTATCCCTTCCCCTACATTCCTGGAATAGTTTTAACAGGTATTGCTTTTCCATTTACGTACATGCATACAAGTGTTTGCAACATATTCACCCTCTTACATCCTTTTCCTGCCACCTCCCTCCACACACTGGTACCAACCCTCCTCAGCAGGACCTGTTCTGCCCTCCTGTTCTTTAATTTTGAAGAAGAAAAAAGGAAAAAAAATGACTCTTTTGTTTATTTAAGATAAAGGAAGCTACACAGGGAGTCTCCTTTATTAGCTGAGATTATGTCTTGCTTACTTTTTTGGCTATTAATTTCAGTCTTCTCTCTTTTTCTTTTGATTGGTTTGGCTAAGGCTTTATCAATTTTGTTTATATTTGCATAGACTCAACTTTGTTTCATCAATTCTTTGTGGTGTTCTTTTAGTCTTATTGCATTCATTTCACCTTTGATAATTGTTTCTTTCCTTCTATTAGTTAAAAGTTTGACTGCTTCTTATATTTCCAAGACCTTGATGTGTATCAAGAAGTTTTTTATTTGATATCTCCCTGATGTTTTAACATCAGTGGGCACAGAAATAAACTTCCCTCTTGGAACTGCCTTTGCTATATCTTGTTATATCCTTCGTAGACTATGATATATTTTGTTTTCATTTTTGTTTAATTCTAGGAATTAAAAAAACGTTAAAATCTCCTCCCTGATTTCTCCAATGATCATTTAAAAGTGTTTGTATATTTTCATGTGTTTGTATATCTTCTGTAATTTCTCTTCTTATTTTCAAATTTGAAACCATTTTGATCTGCTAAAATATGAAATATTTCATTTTTTTATATTTACTGAGATTAACTTTATGGTCTAAAATATGATCTATTTTGGAGAATATACCATAAGCTGCATAGACTAATGTGTGTTCTGCAGCAGTTGGATGGAGTATTCTACATATGTCTGTGGTTTAACTATGATGTTTCCGATTTTTTTGTCTGGATGATCTATCTGCTGGTGAGTGTGGTGTATTGAAGTTACACGTAATTATTGCTATCTCTCTTTTTATGTCTGTTAGTGTTTCATGGAATTTTGTTGTTTTATGTTAAGTATATATATATTTACAATCATTATGTCTTCTTAATGAGTTGTTTCCTTCACCAATGTGCTGTGACTTTCTTTTTCTTTTCTGACTGATTTTGGCTTGAAGTCTGTTTTTTTTTTTTAGATGTGAAGATAGCTACTACTTCGGCTTGCTTTCATTTGCTTATAAAATCATTTCCATCCTTTTGCTTTCAGTCTATTTTCTGGTAAAGCAAGTTTTTTGCAGGCAGAAAATATTAGGTCTTGTTTTTTCAATCCATTTAGCCAGTCTGTGTCTTTTAATTGGAGAATTAAGACCAATTTACATTCTGGTTTATTATTGAAAGTTCTGTAATAGCTCCTGAATTTTTTTTCTAGTTGTTTTCTTAACCTGTGTTCATTTCTTTCTCCCTTATTCATCCTAAAGACTTGATGGTTTACTGGACTCATCATGTTTGGTTCTTTCTTGGTTCTCTACTGTCTTTTCTATTTTTCTCTACGTTTCTACTGAGATTTATTCTTTCTCATGTTTGCATCTTGTGTTTATCTTGCTTCTTCTGTGTACAGGATACCTTTAATAATCCTGTGCAATGCTGGTTTAGTGGTCGTGAATTCCTTTAATTTATGCTTATCTTGGAAGGTTACTATTTCACCTTTGATTCTTAAGGATCACTTTGCACTTCTTTCTCTGGCTGTGTTTTGTATTTTTGACAGTTTAAGTAAAATATGTCATGGTGGGAATCTTTTTTTTTTTTTTGTGGTACTGGAGCTTGAACTCAGGACCTCCACCTTGAGGCACTCCACCAGCCCTTTTTTTGTGATGGGTTTTTTTCAAGATAGGGTCTTGTGAACTATTTGCTCAGGCTGGCTTTGAAACATAATCCTCCTGGTCTCTGCCTCCTTAGTAGGTAGGATTACAGGCATGAGCCACTGGCGCCCAGCATGGTGAGGTTCTTATATGGCAATGTCTTTGTGGTTCTGAATACTTCCTGTTCTTGTACCTGAATGCCTGTGTCTTTTCTGATTTGAGAATTTTTCTGCCATTATTTTCTGATTAGGTCTTCTGTGCCTTTAGCCTATAACTATTCTTTGACTAAAACTATAATTCTTGAATTTGGTCATTCAAAGGTCTTGAAATTTTTGATTAAAATATGTTATTTTTCTCTTTATCATTACTGTCTGAATGTGGTTATTCATCAACTTTGTTTTCAAGCCGTAACAGTCTTTCTTCTGCCTAATCTATTCTACTAATGAGGCTTTCAACTGAGATTTTGTTTTGATTTATCAAGCTGTGAGTTCTGAGATTTATAATAGGTTCTTCTTCATAATCTCTCTTATTGACTTCTTCTTTCATATTCTTAATTGTCTTCCTTAATTCATTCACCTGCTTATTTGTATTCTTTTTGAAGTCCTTGATCAATTTTAAACATAACCTTTTGACTTCTTTGGCATTTCATCCACACAAAAATCTTTAGATTCAGTAGGTAGAGCAGTGTTCAAGAAAACTGACAGTAAAAAGTAAAGTGAATAATAGCACTTTGAAAATCACACTGAAGATTAAGTAACATAGAATCATAGAGAGTGCTCTATGCAGGAAGAGAAGAGAAAAGAAGCTGAAAGAAATCATGGAACTTGGTTCCCAGAGGTTTGCAACAATCATTGAAGATAAGTTGGGTAACTAGATAGAGAAGTTGTTGCGAATCATGTTTGGAGGAGGTTTCAGTGAGGGGAAGGAAGGAACAAAGCAGATCCAAGAATCTGTGAGTCTAATTCATGTT